GGCGCGGGCTGACGCAGCACCCACAAAGTGGGAGTGCTCGTCAACCGGCAGGCACCTGAGGATGGCGACGCAAGCAGTGGCGTCGCGAGATGCCCAGATAGAGTAGGCAGTACGAGCAGCAGCGTGCACAGCCTGCTGCTCAGACATCGCGTCAGTAGCAAGAGAGCTCGGGCGAGGGATAATGGGGAGCTCACCGGAGACGTGGGCGTCCAAAGACTCGTCATCGACGCGCTGACTCGTGGGCTGGAGGAGAACTGCCTCCTGCCAGGCGGCGAAACCGACTGCTCGCCCCTCCCCATCCAGGCGCAGAATGAAGACGCCGGGCGACGCCATGCTGGCAGCTGCGGCCGGAAAGACAGTGGCGGCAGAAGCAAGAACAGCTGGGGCGGTGGCAGTGAGGGCGGCTAGCTAGCAGCGAGGTGAGGATGGCAGCAGGCCAGAAGTGAGCTGGCTAGCGGAGGCGGCTACGTGGGTATGGGCGAGTCGTGGCAGTGGTGGCAGTAGCGGCTGCAATGGCAGTCTGGGTTGCAGCGGCAGAGGCAGCTGCAGGGGGCAGCGTGGTAGCTGCAAAGGGCAGCAGCGGCAGTAGCCGCGGCAAGGGAAGCGGCTGCAGCAGCGGCTGCAAGGGAAGCGGCGGCTGCAAGGGAAGCAGCGGCAGCGGCAGTGGCGGCTGTGGCAGTGGTAGCAGCGGCAGCTAAAGCGGCTGTAGCGGCAGTGGCACCAGAAGTTGCAACAGTGGCCGTGGTGGCGGCGCAAGTGGCTGCAGCGGCTGAGCAAGCGGCAGAGCAGGCTGCAGCTGTGGCAGAGGCAGTGACTGCAGCGGAGAGGCGCCGCTGGCAGTGGCAGCTGGCGGGCAGTGGAGTCAGTTGGCGCTGCTGACTAGTGCGGGTAAGCGGCGGGCTGGCGCTGGCGAGCTGGCGCTGGCGGCTATTAGCTGGCGAGCTGGCGGCTATTAGCTGGCGAGCTGGCGGCTAGCAGCTGGCGGCTAGTAGCTGGCAAGCTGGCGCTGGCGGCTAGCAGCTGGTGGCTAGCAGCTGGCGGCTAGCAGCTGGCGAGCTGGCGCTGGCTAGTAGCAGCTGGCGATCTGGCGCTGGCGGTTAGCAGCTGGTGAGCTGGCGCTGGTGGCTAGCAGTTGGCGAGCTGGCGGCTAGCAGCAGGTGGCTAGCAGTTGACGAGTTGGCGCTCGCGGCTAGCAGCTGGCGAGCTGGCGGCTAGCAGCTGGCGGCTAGTAGTTGGCGAGCTGGCACTGGCGGCTAGTAGCTGGCGGCTAGCAGCTGGCGCGCTGGCAGCTAGCAGCTGACGAGCTGGCGCTGACGGCTTACAGTTGGCAAGCTGGCGTTGGCGGCTAGCAGCTGGCGAGCTGGCGCTGGCTAGCTGGCTAGTGCTTGCGAATGCTTGCTGGCGCTAGCGTGCAGGCGCTGGTGAGCTGGCGCTGGCGAGCTGGTGCTGGCTAACGCAGGTGAGCTGGCGCTGGCGAGCTGGCGGGCTGGCTAGCGCTGGCGTCAGGGACGAGCTACGATCGAGCGGGGGGGGGGGGATCGGTGACTAACGAAGGCGCCAATATGGTGCGGGCTAGTGGCGGCTGGCGCTGGTCGGCACTAGCTGGTGGTGGCTGGCCCTAGCCGACGCGAGCTACGCGACGAGCAGAGGAGGGCGGGGAGGGGACGATCGACGAGGCGCGCAACTAGGGGCGAGGCACGCTAGGCCAGGGTGTGCTAGGGCGGAAGCGTGAGTAGAGGGTGAGACCTAGCTCTAGATGCCTTGTTAGAATGTCGAGAGAAAAGTTGACTAAGGGAGAGAGGCTGAGGGTTACAAAGGTGGGAGTGTACCCTCTAAGAACTGACCTAACTAAGGCTATAAACTGTACCTAGCATAGACAATTATATTTGTTGGCAGGGCTTGCTCCAATTGGAGCGGTAGCTTGTGTGCTTCCATTGTTGCGTATCATCAATGATGGCTGGCTTCTTTTCTCTCTCTCTCTCTCTCTCTCTCTCTCTCTCTCTCTCTCTCTCTCTCTCTCTCTCTCTCTCTCTCTCTCTCTCTCTCTCTCTCTCTCTCTCTCTCTCTCTCTATATATATATATATATATATATATATTTTAGGCTGGTACCGTAATCTCCCAGCATGATTACCCCTCCGAAAAAGGGACCGTGGATCCTTTTTCCGGACCATGGGTCTTAATATCGTAAAGGGATTGTGAGGACCCGCTGTTTGGGGTAAACCATTTCAGGACCCCGATTTCCCTCACGAGTGTATTTGTACTAGTTTTTAGTTTCAGATTTTGGTCACGCATTCAAAGCGCCCCCGTTTTCTTGTGCATCTAGCTGTCAGAAATGCCTTCGCGCAGCGTCAGCACAAGGGGTTCCTGTAGTAGGCCTTGAGAAAATTGACCACATCAGGAATTTGACTTGTGAGTCTACGATAGGCTGAGGACGAGAATCCGCTGGCGCTCAAGTGTACATACAAAAAACAGTCTCGGAAGTAGAAAATAAATGTTTATGGGTCTTCATAATTACCTCCCTTTTGTAGGGCTGAGAAAAGCCCTTGGGATCTTTCCAGAGACTAAGTCCCACTTGTACAAGATGCTTGAGTAGTGCAGCGGAAGTGTTAGTAGTTGAACCCTTGCACTAGTATGTGAGAGCAAGTGATTGATTAGAAGGGACAAGCATACAGCAATATATAGAAAATAAGAAATGAAGCAGTTGTAGAATACAGTTGAAGAAACAGTTATCGAGTCGCGCAGTGACTCGGTTGTCTGCTCGGTTACCATCCTTGCAGTCGCAACGGTCAATCGCAACCTCCGGTTGCGATCCTTCGAGTCCCTTTGTCCTTTCGTGTTCTTTCGTTCAACCTCCTCGTGTAACCTCCGTTGACTCGCGTACCGGATACGACTTTCCTCGAGTGTAGTGTTACACTTCAGAAACGCTTAAGTCTTCGAGGTATTTCCAACACCCCCCTTCGTTTCTGGAGTGCTGACGTGTCCGGATTCGGTGACGTTTATCTGCCCGGTCAGCAGCATGCAGTAATCGAACTTTGCCTTTGCCAGTTTCTTCGTCAGGTAATCTGCAACCATTTCTGTCGTGGGGCAGTAACTGAGTTGAAGTCTCCCCTTCGCGATCTCATCCTTGATGAAGAAATACCGCAGAGCGATGTGCTTGGTTCGATTGGCGAACCCGTTTTTGTTCGCGATTTTGACCGCGGATTGGTTGTTGCAAAATAATGAGAAGGCGGGCATGGTCGCAATTTTTGCTTCCTCGAGCAGCTCCCGCAGGTAAAGTCCTTCTTTGGTCGCAGAGCAGAGGGCGATGTATTCCGCTTCAGCCGAGGATAGTGCGATTAGTTCCTGCTTGCTCGATTGCCAGGAAATAGTCCCGATAGGCTCTAGTCGGTAGATGTAGCCCGTTCTGGAGCGCCGATTCTCCTTATCTCCCGCGTGGTCGGCGTCGACATAGCCGAGTAGTTGTACGATGGATGGTGTTACTTTGCTGTAGGTAAGTCCGATCGTCGGCGTAGAGACGAAGTAGAACAGTGCCCGATTTAGCTCCTCGAGATCCTCTTGCTCCGGCTGCTTCAGGTGTGTCGCCAATTGGCTCGCGCTGTAGGACAGATGCGGTCGGCAGGTTACTGCAGCGAACAGTAGACAACCGAGCTTCTGTTGATATTCCTTGATTTGCTTCGTGGGGAGCTTTGCGGAGGTGTCGCTGTTGTTCCCGTAGTGATAGGGAGTCGCGACTGCGACCAGCGTTAGTCTGTATTTCATCGCGACAATGCCTGCGTACATTCCGGCATGTAGGTAGAACGCCGAATCGTCTTCGACGACGTTCAGACCTAGGTACTGGCTCACGGCTTTCAGATGTCCAGGGACAGAGCAGCGCGCACCATCACTCTCTCACAGTCACACTTGGTGCGCCAGGTCCTTCAGAGGTTCGGCCTTCAGTTCTCTTCCGCACAGCCCACCCCTCTGCTAGTAGACCACAGACTCTCTGCCCCAGTCCCAGAGGAGGCTCTAGAGCCTAGTGGTCCCTACGCAGAGCTAGTGGGTTTCCTCATGTACCTGATGACTTGCACTCGTCCAGATCTCGCATACCCTCTCGGCATCCTGGCTCGCTTTGTGGCCCAAGGCAGGCACCGACCACAGCACTGGTCGGCAGCTAAGAGGGTCTTGTGTTATCTAGCAAGTACATCGGGCATGGGGCTAGTGCTAGGAAGATGGAGACCTGTGGTCCTTACCGGGCACACAGACGCTTCTTGGGCAGACGACGCCGAGACTCTTAGGTCCTCACATGGCTACTGCTTTAGCCTTGGTGCATGTGCCATCTCGTGGAGGTCCACCCGCTCCTCGCTTGTTGCCCAGTCTAGCTGTGAGGCTGAGATCTACGCAGGTGCCATGGCGGCACAGGAGCTCCGCTGGCTGACCTTGTTGCTCACCGACTTGGGTGAGCAGCCTAGCTCTGCCCCGGTTCTGTACGCTGACAACAGGGCCATGATCCTCCTGTGTCAGGAGCCACGACTTGAGGGCAGAGCGAAGCACATCCGACTGCGGTACTTCCTCATGCGCGAGCTGCAGCAGCGTCGCCAGGCTCGTGTAGTACACTTGGCCACAGGTGCCAACACAGCTGATATCTTTACTAAGGCGCTTGCGCCTAAAGATCATCAGCGGCACTATGTACAGCTAGGTCTCGTTCCTGTAGCCTCTCGCTTGCTAGGATCCTGATTGTGTACAGACCTTTATATATTACCCGGACTGGCCTTGTGGCCTCTTCCCAGTGGCTGGACTAGTAGTGCCACCGTGGTCTTGCTCTTGCCTTGTCTGTACTTGTTTGAGTGGTCTTTAGACCCCTGGCTCAGAGGCTGGACTAGTAGTGCCACCCTGAGCTGTTTCTCTCTCATCAGGCACTGCCCCTATCCAATCTAGGGGGTGTGTCGAACATATATTGTATGTTTCTGTAGATTATATAGGGTTGTGCCTTAGGGAGTACAACCCATTAGGTTATATACCCTTGTATGTCTTGTTCTAGTTAACACTTTTCACTTTAACAGTGCATGCACATGACATGCAACACACACACTGGTCTCATGTTGACCACATCCCCCAACCATAATTACTATGCTGCTATCTTGATGCTGTAATGATCAATAATGAGGGTGAGGGGCGTATCAACCGAAACGGGTCTCTCCCGAAACGAGCTCCAGGGTGCAGGCAAAACCCAGTGCCTCAGTACGGTAGACGAAGCACGCACCACCAATCCCCCCCACCCTTCGGCTGTTTCGATGGCAAACGAATGGTCAATCCTCAGTGTCGCTTCCACTGAGACCGGTCTCTGAAATTGGCTCCAGGTTGCAGTGCAGAACCCGCTGCCCCAGTAGACAAAACCAGGCCACAGCTCCCATCCCATCCATAACCATGATCAGAATCACTCTGCTGCCATCTTAATGCTGTAAGAATGGTCAATCCTCAGTGCTCCATGTTGCAGAACCCACTGCCCATGGATGAAGTTTCACCACAGCTCCCATCCCATCCCATCCATAATCAAGATCAGAATCACTCTGCTACCGTCTCAATGCTGTAAGAATGGTCAATTCTCGGCGGGGTTTCAACCGAAACTGGTCACTCCTGTGAAACGAACTCCAGGTTGCAGAACCCCCTGCCCTAGCAATTGAATTTTCACCACAGCTCCCATCCATGATCATGAATGGAATCTCTCTGCTGCTGTTTCAATGCTGTAAGAATGATTAACCCACTGCCCCAGTCGATGAAGCACGCGTGCACCTGACCCAGGTTAGAATGGGTTGACTTGGTTGACTGCAGCTCCAATCACATGCCCCATTCCATCACTCTGCTGCTGTTTCAATGGCATAAGAATGGTCGATCCTCAGTGGGGTTTCAATCGAGATGGGTCTCTCTTCTGAAACCAGCTCTAGGTTGCAGAACCCACTGCCCCAGTAGACGAAGTATGCATCGATTTCCCATCACTCCGCTGCTGTCTCAATGCTGTACGACTGATCGATCCTGAGAGGCGTTTCAACAGAGACGGGTCTCTCTTCTGAAACCAGCTCCAGGTTGCAGAACCCACTGCCCCAGTAGATGAAGCACTCGTGCACTTGGCTCGGGTTGAATCGGCTGACCACAGTGCGCCCTGTTCCCGGGTCCACTAGAGACCACTCGCCTGCATGGGGGGAGGAAGGTTGGGCAAGGGGGAAAAGATTGCAGAACCCACTGCCCCAGTAGATGAAGCATGCGTGCACTTGGCTTGGGTTGAATCGGCTGACCACAGTGCGCCCTGTTCCCGGGTCCACCAGAGACCACTCTCCCGCAAGGGGGGGGTGGGGAGCTGAAGGGGACACACAAAAGGGAGTCGTTGACTCGGGCTGAACCAGTTGACCATGGCCCACCAAATACCTCTCTCCCATTGGTAGCAAGGACCAGCAGAAAGGGGGAGACTTTTGAGTTGAGTCAGAAGTTGAACTGGTTGACCACGGTCCACCAAATACCTCTCTCCTGTAGGTAGGAAGGACCACCAGAAAGGGGGTTGCTGTTGTCTTGGTTGAGTGTGTTCACCACAATGCGCCCCGAATTCACCAGAAATCACTTTCCTGTATGGAAAGGAGGGTTCAGCAGTGGGATGCTTGAAATGAGGGCCCATATGCGGCCTGCTCCCTGGGTCCACCAGGGACCACTGCCTCACAGGGAGATGGGCACAAGCATAACCAGAGCAAGCCACTCACCATTGGGCCTGTCGTCGCCTCTGAGCCACATCTCCTGCACATCAGGTTTCACCAGCACCTCCTCCCCTTTTATGGACGTGAGGCGCTCGTGGGGAGCAGCAGCAGAGGAGAGGGTGTCAAAACAAGCAGAACCAGAACAAGCCACTCACCATTGGGCCTATCGTCGCCTCTGAGCCACAGCTCCTGCACATCAGGTTTCACCAGCACCTCCTCCCCTTTTATGGACGTGAGGCGCTCGTGGGGAGCAGCAGCAGAGGAGAGGGTGTCAAAACAAGCATAACCAGAACAAGCCACTCACCATTGGGCCTGTCGTCGCCTCTGAGCCACAGCTCCTGCACATCAGGTTTCACCAGCACCTCCTCCCCCTTGATAGATGTGAAGCGCACGTGGGGAGCAGCGGAGGAGAATGAATGGACGATGCGGAAGGAAGGGTGCACACGCAGACAGGCAAGGCTGAGAGGGGAGATGGGGAGGAAGAGGAGGGGGGGTGAAAGGGAGGGAGGGGGTTTGTCAAGTTTGAAAGAGAGGGTAGGTGAGCAGGGGGCGAGAACGGGAAGGAGGGGGGGGGGGGGGGGAGGGATGAGGGGTACAGGGAAGAAAAGGGGAGAAGGAGAGGAGTGCTGAGCTTGCAACGTTGCGGGAAGAGGCTGGAATTTGGAAAGTGCCTGCCACGATAGGAATGATGGATCGGCAACTCTGTAAGATGGGCACATACCGTGAAAATCCGCCCGAGCCGGCACCAATGGCAGAGGCGATAATCGCTGACGTCACATGCAGCTGATTCGGCGTCGACGGAAGTATCTCCCCTGAGAGTCCATCGATCAATGTGGTCCCGTCCTTCAATGCCAGTCCATCGATCAATGGGACGTTCTGCTCCTGCCCGGGGGACTTTTGAGTTGACTCTAGAACCGCTTGTCGGTTGGAGAGTGCAGTGGTGGCAGCAGCCCAGGCAGCGGGGATGGGTTGGCCGAGGGAGAAGCACCGGCGCATGGTGAGCCCACTGCCGATGTCACCCTCCACGATCATGCGGTGGCTGCCGCCCGTGCTGTGGTCCCGCTGCTCGCTGCAAGGAAAACAAGGGGAGGGACAATGGGCAGCATAGAAGGGACCTGGGAGAAGCATCGGCACATGGTGAGCCTGCTGCCGATGTCGCCCTCCATGATCATCTGTTGACTGCCCCCCGTGCTGTGGTCCCGCTGCTCGCTGCGAGGGGTGAGGGGTGTATTGGGACAGTAGGTAAGGGGCAGGGGAGAAGCACCGGCGCATGGTGAGCCTGCTGCCGATGTCACCCTCAACGATCATGCGGTGGCTGCCGCCCGTGCTGTGGTCCCGCTGCTCCCTGCAAGGAAAACAAGGGGAGGGACATTGGGCAGCACAGAATGGACGGGGGAGAAGCATGGGCACATGGTAGGCCCGCTGCAAGTGTCACCCTGAACGATCATTCTCTGACTGCCTCCTGTGCTGTGCTCTTGCTGCTCACTGCCAAGAACGAGCAGTATTCTGGACAATAAGGGATGGGGATGTAGAGAGAGCGAGGGGTGGGACATCAGACAGCATGCAAGGGAAAAGGGAGAAGCATGCATGCATAGTGAGCCCACTCGCTTGTCTCCTTGCACTCTCATGTGATGACTGCCCCCCCGACTGTGATTCCGCTGCTCACTTCCAAGGAAAGCACGGGGCATTGGGGAGCGCGTAGAGGAAAAGGGAATAGAAGAAAGCACGATTCCCCAACACGCACGCACGCGTGCGCACGCGCGCACACACCCCCCCCGCCCCACACACACTCCCATCCACACCACACACACCCCACACACTTCCCCACACACTTCCCCACACACTTCCCCACACGGTCACCTTGTCACACATACCTGACCACGTGGTACTGCTCATGACAGCCTGGCGACCGGTACTCGCTCTCTGAGTATTCCTCGTAGCCGCCCTCCTCAAAGCGCGACTCCAAGAGCTCCTGGCCTGCGAAGAGATGGGGAAGCAGAGAGTTCGGGGGAGAGGAGTTGGGACCGGCATCATTGAGCCAGCTCATACCCACTGATTTTGCAGGGTGTTTTAGAGAATTCTAAAAAAATACTCATACCCACTCTCCTCAAAGGTGCCTAAGAGAGTTCCTAGTCTACATGCAAAATCAGAGAATGGGGAAGAGTTGGGGAAGCAGAGGAGATGGGGGAGGAGATGGGGATGCGGGGTGATGGGGATGCGGGGTGATGGGGATAGGGAGGAAAAGGGGGGAGAGGAGATGGGACCAGCATCATTGAGCCAACTCATACCCACTCTCCTCTAAGGTGAATTCGAGAGTTCCTAGTCTTCATGCAAAAACAGGATGGATGGGAGGGTTACAAAAAGGAAGGGGGGGGGGGGGGGGGGGGGAGATGGGGGGATTTCTCATGGAGTATTCCTCATATACCCCTGTTAACGCACCGCTCTGCCCACACCTCTCTCCCCTCCCCTCTCTCACGGTCTCACCCACCCCAGACCACACATGCGTCTATGCCCATGGATGGGGGGGGGGTGGATGGGGGGATTTCTCATGGAGTATTCCACATATCCCCCCACCTGGCTCTGGTCGATTCTGCCTCCCCTCTCCCCTCCCCTCTCTCACCAAACCCAAACCGCACATGTGTAAGCGTGCCCACCTGAGGGGTAGTGGAAGAGCGAGTCAAGTCTCCCCCCGTGCTTGAGCACCACGTGGCATTGCAGGTCGCCCGCTGCCATGTTCGTCGCTGCTAGTGCCTCTGTCCCTCCGTCCTCCTCATCCCCCTTTGCCCCATCCAACAATAATGGGGCAGATTCTGGTGTCAAGGGTAGGGTGCGAGTGGGAGAATGGAGAGAGATGGAAAGAGGCGTGTTTCAGCACCATGTGGCATTCCAGGTCGCCGTGCTGCTAGCGCCCCTGCCCTGCCCCTCCCCTCTCCCCTTGTCCCTCCTCGAACCCATCCGTTATTCCAGTGAGTGATTAGAGGAGTCTGCAAGCGGGCACAGGTGCATTAGCGGGGATGGGATAAGAGAAAGAAAAGAGAAAAGGAAGAGAAAGAGGAAGAGAAAGAGAGAGAATCACCCACTCATTGCCGCCCATGCTCACCAATAACCCATCCCTCCCACCCACCACTCAACCACGAGCGCCATCTCCTCCACCGCTGCAGCCACGAGGCTGTCAGGCTCAGCAGCAGCAGCAGCAGCAAAGAGCAGCGACCGACCTACACTGCCACCCACTCAGCCGTGTTACCCATCCCTCCCACCCACCACTCACCCACGAGCGCCTTCTCTTCCTCCACCGCTGCAGCCACGAGCCTGTCAGCCTCAGCAGCGGAGGGCAGCGGGACAGAGATCACATCGCCATCCCAACCCTCGGCTTCCACCTGGTTGGGGGTTCAGGGGGGAAGAGGGCGGCACACAACACCCAAACAGGCACACACACAAAGAGAGGTGCGTTCTATTCAGGGGCCTCTACTCGACGCATGGTGACCCGAGAGGTAACAACAAGGCAGAAAGGCCAATACACTGACGGAGATTCTAGAGTCGACTTAAAAATACACTAAAAAATCACCTCAGGAGAGGAAACAAGTCAGAAAGGCCAATACACTGAAGAAACGGATATGAAAAGGACAAGCAACACAGCCGGAGGCGCGCTCAAATAAGCTCATAGAAGCACCACCTTATAGGCTTATACCGAGACGTTTTTGTTGAAGCGCCTTATACATACATGCATACACCTCACATCACATCACATCACAGGCAGGCACTAGGCACCAGGCACTGGAAGGAAGAAAGAACACATGGCCAGGCAGGCGGAAACAGGTGAGAAACAAACTTAAAAAGAAGCAACACCTTATGCCAGACGCTTTTGTTGAAGCGCCTCATACATACACCTCTCATCCCATTGCATCGCATCGCATCGCATCACATCACATCACATCACATCACATCACATCGCATCACATCACATCACATCGCATTACATCGCATCACAGGCAGGCACCAGGCACTGGAAGAAAGGAAGAAAGCAGGGCCAGGCGGAAATAAGTGAGGAACAAACTCCAAAACAAGCAACTCTTTGCACAAGCTCTATGAACCTCAATACTCACATAAGCACCATCTCCCAGCAGCACTCGTGCCACCAGCTTCCGGCGGGGCCGCTTCCAGGAACCTTCCTCCTGTGCCACCTTCACCTCCACCACCTGCTGCCCGCCCTCCCCCACGCCACGTGTCGCCGCGTAACTGGTCAGTAGGTACTCCCCATTCCTGTACCCAAAGCCATCCCCCTCGTCCTCGAATAACTGGCCCTCACTGGTGCCTGGGGGAGGGGATTGAGAAGGTGGTAAGGGGATGGGTCAAGTGTGGTCGGTAGCGGTGAGTCAGCAGGTACTCCCCGTTCCTGTACCCGAACCCATCCCCCTCGTCCTCGAATAACTGGCCCTCACTGCTGCCTGGGGGAGGGAAGTGGCATGGGAAGAGACAAGGGATTGGGAATGCAGCAACCAGACGGGTCAGCGGATACTCCCCTTCCCTGTACCTGAACCCATCCCTCTCGTCCTCAGCAATCGTAGACTGCCATAGACTTATCCTTCCTATTCCCTAAATCCTCGAAACACTGGTGCCTGGGGGAGGGGATTGAGAAGGAATAAGGCAGATTTTTGAGGCGCCTCAAAAATAGAATAAGGGAGAAGGAATAAGGGACAAGGAATAAGGGAGAAGGAATAAGGGAGAAGGAATAAGGGAGAAGGAATAAGGGAGAAGGAATAAGGGAGAAGGAATAAGGGAGAAGGAATAAGGGAGAAGGAATAAGGGAGAAGGAATAAGGGAGAAGGAATAAGGGAGAAGGAATAAGGGAGAAGGAATAAGGGAGAAGGAATAAGGGAGAAGGAATAAGGGAGAAGGAATAAGGGAGAAGGAATAAGGGAGAAGGAAAAAAAAAAAAAAAAAAAAAAAAAAAAGAAGGAATAAGGGAGAAGGAATAAGGGAGAAGGAATAAGGGAGAAGGAATAAGGGAGAAGGAATAAGGAGAAGGAATAAGGGAGAAGGAATAAGGGAGAAGGAATAAGGGAGAAGGAATAAGGGAGAAGGAATAAGGGAGAAGGAATAAGGGAGAAGGAATAAGGGAGAAGGAATAAGGGAGAAGGAATAAGGGAGAAGGAATAAGGGAGAAGGAATAAGGGAGAAGGAATAAGGGAGAAGGAATAAGGGAGAAGGAATAAGGGAGAAGGAATAAGGGAGAAGGAATAAGGGAGAAGGAATAAGGGAGAAGGAATAAGGGAGAAGGAATAAGGGAGAAGGAATAAGGGAGAAGGAATAAGGGAGAAGGAATAAGGGAGAAGGAATAAGGGAGAAGGAATAAGGGAGAAGGAATAAGGGAGAAGGAATAAGGGAGAAGGAATAAGGAGAAGGAATAAGGGAGAAGGAATAAGGGAGAAGGAATAAGGGAGAAGGAATAAGGAGAAGGAATAAGGGAGAAGGAATAAGGGAGAAGGAATAAGGGAGAAGGAATAAGGGAGAAGGAATAAGGGAGAAGGAATAAGGGAGAAGGAATAAGGGAGAAGGAATAAGGGAGAAGGAATAAGGGAGAAGGAATAAGGGAGAAGGAATAAGGGAGAAGGAATAAGGGAGAAGGAATAAGGCAGCAGGAATAAGGGAGAAGGAATAAGGGAGAAGGAATAAGGGAGAAGGAATAAGGGAGAAGGAATAAGGGAGAAGGAATAAGGGAGAAGGAATAAGGCAGAAGGAATAAGGCAGAAGGAATAAGGGAGAAGGAATAAGGGAGAAGGAATAAGGGAGAAGGAATAAGGGAGAAGGAATAAGGGAGAAGGAATAAGGGAGAAGGAATAAGGGAGAAGGAATAAGGGAGAAGGAATAAGGGAGAAGGAATAAGGCAGAAGGTGGGATAAGACTACGGCAGCTGCTGGTGCTGGGCTTAAGAGCTGATCCCCCCCCCCCCCCGCCCCCTAATCTAGCAATCATAGACGGTTTTCAGCCGCTATCGGGTTTGGGAAGCGAGAGGAAGAGGCAACCTTCCCCTCCCCAAACCGCTGGGCCTCACAGGCAGATGTCCCGAGGCAGCTGGTGCTTCGAGGTGACTTTTGAGCCAAATCAAAAGTGACCCGAGGCACCTGGTGATTCAAACTATCCGAGTCCACCCACAATGAGGCCAATACTAGCTTAGTCCTGAATGACCTGTCCTCACCTGATTCGTCGAGGCTGATAACCAGAGTGACTGGATCTTCCCTGCTAAGTTCCTGAGTGGTCTGAGCGACCGGCCCCGTGGGCAGAATGGCGCTTGCCTTGAGGAAGAGCAGAGGGAGGTCCTGCAGGGTAACAGAGGGAGTGCGGGGAGGGGGTAACGAAACGCTGATGAGATGTGTGCATGCTCGCAGATCTCCTGGGTGCTCTGACCGACCAGCCCCGTGGGCAGAATGGCGCCTGCCTTGAGGAAGAGAAGGGGGAGGTCCTGCAGGGTGGTCTGAGCCACAGGCCCTGTGGGGAGAATGGCGCCTGCTTGCTGGAAGAGAAGGGGGAGGTCCAGTCCCAAGGAGTCGTGGGGTGAGGGGGTGATGGGCAATGAGGGTTAAGGAGGGAGGGGCAATACCTCAAAAGTCTCAGAGATTTCTCAAAAGCAATGATTTCTCAGAGATTTCTCAAAAGCAATGATTTCTCAGAGATTTCTCAAAAGCAATGATTTCTCAGAGATTTCTCAAAAGCAATGATTTCTCAGAGATTTCTCAAAAGCAATGATTTCTCAGAGATTTCTCAAAAGCAATGATTTCTCAGAGATTTCTCAAAAGCAATGATTTCTCAGAGATTTCTCAAAAGCAATGATTTCTCAGAGATTTCTCAAAAGCAATGATTTCTCAGAGATTTCTCAAAAGCATGTCTCATTGCTGATTGGTGGCTGGCTGGCCTACCCGGTCGGAATCATGGAAATGGAAGCGCCTCCATGTGCCAGGTGGCAGCCTCTGATTGGCTGCTGAAGGGTCAGCGAACTTGCTACGCTCCGTGCTGAAAGAGTGGGGGGGGAGAGGGGAGGAGAAAAGGGAGAGAGTGAGAGAGTGATTGTGTGAGTGGTGTGTGCGGACACAATGCATGGGCCCAAGAGATGGTGTGTGAGTGGTGCGTGGGGGGAGCTGTGTGTTGAAGTACCGGTGTTTCCGGACAACCTAGTACTGGTGTGTGTGCACGAGTGCGTGTCCGAGTGCATGTGGGTGTGGGTGTGTGTGGGGGTGTCTGCGTGTGGGTGTGGGTGGGTGGGTGTTGGGGGGGGCGGGGGGGAAGGGGGGGGGGGAAGGGAGGGTCGTGTGTGTGTGTGTTTGTGCACGTGCATGTGTGTGTGCGTGCGTGTGTGTGTGTGTGTGTGTGGGTGTGTGTGTGTGTGTGTGTGCGTGTGTGTGTGTGCGTGTGTGTGTGTGTTTGCTCGTGTGTTTGCATGTTGGGGGTGTGTTTTTTTTGCCTCTGCATGTGTGTGCTTGTGCGAGGGCGGGACGGGGGTTGCAGGGGGGAGGAGTCTCACAATGTCACGACGAGCAACGGGCCCAGTAAGAACTGATCCGTACTTGAGTCGACTCAAAAGCGAGTGCAGAATGGGGGGCAGGGCAGGGCAGTCTCACAATGCCATGACGAGCAATGGACCCAGCAGGAACTGATCCTCAACAGCTCGAAGTGCCGGGTTGGACGGGTCTGATGAGCGGGACAGAGAGTCAGAGGGATAGAGCGATAGAGGGAGGCAAGGGACATTTGCTTTTGAGTCGACTCAAAAGGGAGGCAAGGGACATTTGCTTTTCAGTCGACTCAAAAGGGAGGCAAGGGACATTTGCTTTTCAGTCGACTCAAAAGGGAGGCAAGGGACATTTGCTTTTGAGTCGACTCAAAAGGGAGGCAAGCGACCGACTCAAAAGGAAGGCAAGGGACATTTGCTTTTCAGTCGACTCAAAAGGGAGGCAAGGGACATTTGCTTTTCAGTCGACTCAAAAGGGAGGCAAGGGACATTTGCTTTTGAGTCGACTCAAAAGGGAGGCAAGCGACCGACTCAAAAGGGAGGCAAGGGACATTTGCTTTTCAGTCGACTCAAAAGGGAGGCAAGGGACATTTGCTTTTCAGTCGACTCAAAAGGGAGGCAAGGGACATTTGCTTTTGAGTCGACTCAAAAGGGAGGCAAGGGACCGACTCAAAAGGGAGGCAAGGGACATTTGCTTTTGAGTCGACTCAAAAGGGAGGCAAGGGACATTTGCTTTTCAGTCGACTCAAAAGGGAGGCAAGGGACATTTGCTTTTGAGTCGACTCAAAAGGGAGGCAAGGGACATTTGCTTTTGAGTCGACTCAAAAGGGAGGCAAGGGACATTTGCTTTTGAGTCGACTCAAAAGGGAGGCAAGGGACCGACTCAAAAGGGAGGCAAGGGACATTTGCTTTTGAGTCGACTCAAAAGGGAGGCAAGGGACATTTGCTTTTCAGTCGACTCAAAAGGGAGGCAAGGGACATTTGCTTTTCAGTCGACTCAAAAGGGAGGCAAGGGACATTTGCTTTTGAGTCGACTCAAAAGGGAGGCAAGCGACCGACTCAAAAGGGAGGCAAGGGACATTTGCTTTTCAGTCGACTCAAAAGGGAGGCAAGGGACATTTGCTTTTCAGTCGACTCAAAAGGGAGGCAAGGGACATTTGCTTTTGAGTCGACTCAAAAGGGAGGCAAGCGACCGACTCAAAAGGGAGGCAAGGGACATTTGCTTTTCAGCCGACCCAAAAGGGAGGCAAGGGACATTTGCTTTTCAGTCGACTCAAAAGGGAGGCAAGGGACATTTGCTTTTGAGTCGACTCAAAAGGGAGGCAAGGGACCGACTCAAAAGGGAGGCAAGGGACATTTGCTTTTGAGTCGACTCAAAAGGGAGGCAAGGGACATTTGCTTTTGAGTCGACTCAAAAGGGAGGCAAGGGACATTTGCTTTTGAGTCGACTCAAAAGGGAGGCAAGGGACCGACTCAAAAGGGAGGCAAGGGACATTTGCTTTTGAGTCGACTCAAAAGGGAGGCAAGGGACATTTGCTTTTGAGTCGACTCAAAAGGGAGGCAAGGGACATTTGCTTTTCAGTCGACTCAAAAGGGAGGCAAGGGACATTTGCTTTTCAGTCGACTCAAAAGGGAGGCAAGGGACATTTGCTTTTCAGTCGACTCAAAAGGGAGGCAAGAGACATTTGCTTTTGAGTCGACTCAAAAGGGAGGCAAGGGACATTTGCTTTTGAGTCGAATCAAAAGGGAGGCAAGGGACATTTGCTTTTCAGTCGACTCAAAAGGGAGGCAAGGGACATTTGTCTTGAAGCCCTTAGGGAAAGAAAACGAGTGTGGTGAGGAGCGAGATTACAGGGCAGCCCGAGCAAGAAGTCATGGTGGTAAACGAGCGTGCAGAGATCCGGTAAGAGATGGGAGCGTGTGGGGACCAGGTAAGACGTGGGAGAGTGTGGGGACAGGGTAAGAGGAGGCAGTATGTTATGAGTCTGGGGACCCGGCTCAGAAATAGACTCATAACACACAGGGCAGCCAGAGCAGCCAGAGCAGCCAGAGCAGTCATGGTGGTAAACTCGTGTGTCGGGATCCGGTAAGAGATGGGAGCGTGTGGGGACCGGGTAAGAGGAGGGGGTATGGCTCATGGTAATCCTCATAGTCCATAGTCAAACGGACGCACCGGCAAATGCGAGAGGCGATATGACAGGGGACCCTGTGTTTTCATGATGGGAGAAGGGAGTGTAGAGGTGCAGCAGCAGATGGGGCAGCAGATGGGTCACGTGTGTGTGTGGTGTGCATGTGGCATTAAGAAAAAACGCACCGGCAAAAGCGAGGGGCGAGATGACAGGACGCCCCGTCTTGTCGTGATGGTAAAAGAGTGTGTAGAGGTGTGGCAGAAGGTGGTAGCGGCGCTCTATTGCCTTCCGACACACACTCTCGCACTGGTTGGGGTTGAGCAGAGAATGGGTGGGGGGAAGGGGCGTGTAGAGGTGGGGTAAGAGGTGGTAGTGGCGCTCTATTGCCTTCTGACACACACTCTCGCACTGGTTGGAGAACGGGGAAGAGAGGATGCGGGAGGGAGGGAGGGAAGAGCGGGGGAGAAAAAAGTGTTGTGTGGGAACGCTCTGACTCGAGCCTTGGCCCTTGTTCAGTTGACAGCCAAAACACTGCCAGAGTTGATTGGGAGAAACGGAAGAGGGGGAAGTGAGCCGGAGAGGTTTGAGCCGAGTGAGAACCGACTGTGACTGGAGCCTTGCTCAGGTGTTCAACATATCCTTTCCAAGTACCCCTCCCTTCTAAACCCCTCATTTCTAAACCCCTTCATTTCTAAACCCATCATTTCTAAACCCCTCCTTTTTAAACCCCTCCTTTCTAAACCCCTCCTTTCTAAACCCCTCCTTTCTAAACTCCTCCTTTCTAAACCCCTCCTTTCTAAACCCCTCCTTTCTAAACCCCTCCTTTCTAAACCCCTCATTTCTAAACGCCCTGTGCTCCCGCTTTCAGCATCTGCTGACTCTCTCCCCCCTTCTGATGCTCTTGCCGCTTCCCCAAACACCCATGGCTCAGCGTCCTTCCTTTGACCCTTTCTCCGAGTGCGCTCGCGAGAAGGGGCAGCAGAAACCCGATGCGATGCCCATTTCCCACTACTCCTTGGCGGCACTTACGGCTTCTCCAAACACCCATGGCTCGGCGTCCTTTGTCCCTTTCTCCGAGTGCCCCCTTGAGAAGGGCAGCAGGGCGCCGATGCCCATCCACCGCGCAAACAGGCGGGGCGTGGCATTCAGGGCGAAACCACCGATGTCAGGGCCGTTCAGGGGCTGCCCACTGAGAGCCTGGGATTGGGGGGTTGGGTGACAGACGGAGAGGGGAGGGGGTTGGCATGGCTGGGGTGATTTTTGAGGCGCCTCTTTTTGAGGCGATTTCTGAGGCGCCTCAGATATCAGGGCCGTTTAGGGGTTGGCCACAGAAAGCTTAAGATGGGGGGGGTTGGGTGTCAGATGGAGAGGGGAGGGGGTTGCCAGGGGTGTAGAGGGCAAAACCTCCTATGTGCGGCCCGTTCAGGGGGGAATGCAGCAGGAAGGGCAGAAGCAGAAACCCCAGTGCCCATCCACCGGAAAAGTAGTATATTTTTGAGACGTCTCAAAACAAAACCCCAGTGCCCATCCACTGGAAAAACGGCCAGGGCGTGGCAACGAGGGCAAAACCTCCTGACATCCAGAACGGCCAGAACGGACCACTCCACTCTCTGTTCACCTCTCCCAACTACCTGATGGACGTCAGGAGGTTGAGAACATGTCTCTCTTTTCACCATACCATGTTGAGCGCCATGGGCACACTCATGTGAAGGTATTCCCACGTTGCAAGGTTGTCACCGGTCCACGAAGCAGCATACCGCTGGCTGCCTATGTACCCCGCACGAGTCAGCACAAATGGCCGTTTCTCAGGTAGTGCCTTCTCCAACCCTTCGCTTGTAGCCCGCGCCATGAGCATGCCGTACACCTGGTCGCAAGAAGCACATAATGGGGGGAAGGGAGGCGCAGAGGGGGGTGGGCAGGGGGGGGGAAGGGGGCCTATGTACCCCGTACGAGTCAGCACAAATGGCCGTTTCTCAGGTAGTGCCTTTTCCACGCTTCGATTGGAGCCCGTGGCATGAGCATGCCGTACACCTGGTGCAGAGAGGAAGCAAGAAGCACACGCAGGGGCCAAGGGGCTGTTACTCTGAGCCAGGTTGTCGCCAGTCAGTCCACAACGCAGCATACCGCTGGCTGCCTATGTACCCCGCACGAGTCAGCACAAATGGCTGTTTCTCAGGCAGTGCCTTCTTCAGGCCCTCACAGGTGGCCATTTTTGAGGCGCCTCAAGAATAGACTCTTCAGGCCCTCACAGGTGGCCCGTGCCATGAGCATACCACACACCTGACAGGCATAGTGTGCGGGGGGGGTGTGGGATGGGGGGGGGGGGGGGGGTGGGTGGGGAAGGAAATGGGGTGTCCTTTGAAACATCTAGGTGGCCAGGTTGTCGCCAGTCCACAAAGCAGCATACTGCTGGCTGCCTATGTACCCTGCCCTGGTCAGCACCAAGGAGTAGTGGCAGATCTGCAGGTCGTACACCTGAACGCAAGAAGCACACATAGAGGGAAACGTGAGGTAGTTCTTCTAAGGTGTGTTGTTGTCGCCAGTCCATGAGGCAGCAAATCTCTAGCTGCCCTTCTGGCTGCCCATCAACTCACTCGAGTCACAAAGGGAGGCTTGGGGAGGGGAGCGGCTTCTCTAGGGGTTTAAAGAAAAGTGGCACGCGTCCTACTGCTGTTCATAACCCTCATTCTTAGCCTAATGCCCACTTACAGGACCAAGAGCTCATATGCAATGGTGGTGTACAGTACAGTATACTGTACATATTCCTGCTTTAGTGATGGCCACACTTCAGGCTCACATTGTGGTAGCGCAGTGCAGAGGGTTGTGAGTGGCCCCGACGTTGCATCCCCCTTTACAAGCACGTACCAAGGTACAAGCTCACTGCAATGCAAGATAATGCTTTTGAGTCGACTCAAGATACAAGCTACAAGCTCAAGATAAGCACGTACCAAGATACAAGCTACACCGAATGATAGTCTGCTTTCCAAGGCACATAGACTTGCTCGTAGAATGTGATAGTGCAGGTGGTTCTGAGAACCCCCCATGTCATCATCCCCTCTATAAGCACGTGCCAAACAACCATCGTAACACATGATAATACAGTACGGGAATGTGCATAACTCCACGTCTTGCTCACATTGTGGTAGTGCAGGTGGTTCTGAGTGCCCCCCATGTCGTCATCCCCCCTATGGATGTTATCGTCCGGCATGGTCTTGTTGACTGCCTGATTTCATGAAGGGAAAAAAAAGGGCAGGGTGGACTCAAAAAAAGGCAAAAAGAAACACGGGCAGGGGTGAGTGGACGCCCATGGGGCAGAGGGACAGAGCGAGGGTGGTGGACCCATGTCGCCATCCCCCTATGCATGGTCTTGTTGACTGCCTGAGGTGTGTGTGAGGGGGTCTTGTTGACTGCCTGAGGTAAGAGGGGGTCTTGTTGACTGCCTGAGGTAAGAGGGGGTCTTGTTGACTGCCTGAGGTAAGAGGGGGTCTTGTTGACTGCCTGAGGTAAGAGGGGGTCTTGTTGACTGCCTGAGGTGTGAGGGGGTCTTGTTGACTGCCTAAGGTGTGAGGGGGTCTTGTTGACTGCCTGAGGTGTGAGGGGGTCTTGTTGACTGCCTGAGGTGTGAGGGGGTCTTGTTGACTGCCTGAGGTGTGAGGGGGTCTTGTTGACTGCCTGAGGTGTGAGGGGGTCTTGTTGACTGCCTGAGGTGTGAGGGGGTCTTGTTGACTGCCTGAGGTGTGAGGGGGTCTTGTTGACTGCCTGAGGTGTGAGGGGGTCTTGTTGACTGCCTGAGGTGTGAGGGGGTCTTGTTGACTGCCTGAGGTGTGAGGGGGTCTTGTTGACTGCCTGAGGTGTGAGGGGGTCTTGTTGACTGCCTGAGGTGTGAGGGGGTCTTGTTGACTGCCTGAGGTGTGTGTGAGGGGGTCTTGTTGACTGCCTGAGGTGTGTGTGAGGGGGTCTTGTTGACTGCCTGAGGTGTGAGGGGGTCTTGTTGACTGCCTGAGGTGTGTGTGAGGGGGTCTTGTTGACTGCCTGAGGTGTGTGTGAGGGGGTCTTGTTGACTGCCTGAGGTGTGTGTGAGGGGGTCTTGTTGACTGCCTGAGGTGTGTGTGAGGGGGTCTTGTTGACTGCCTGAGGTAAGAGGGGGTCTTGTTGACTGCCTGAGGTAAGAGGGGGTCTTGTTGACTGCCTGAGGTAAGAGGGGGTCTTGTTGACTGCCTGAGGTGTGAGGGGGTCTTGTTGACTGCCTGAGGTGTGAGGGGGTCTTGTTGACTGCCTAAGGTGTGAGGGGGTCTTGTTGACTGCCTGAGGTGTGAGGGGGTCTTGTTGACTGCCTGAGGTGTGAGGGGGTCTTGTTGACTGCCTGAGGTGTGAGGGGGTCTTGTTGACTGCCTGAGGTGTGAGGGGGTCTTGTTGACTGCCTGAGGTGTGAGGGGGTCTTGTTGACTGCCTGAGGTGTGAGGGGGTCTTGTTGACTGCCTGAGGTGTGAGGGGGTCTTGTTGACTGCCTGAGGTGTGAGGGGGTCTTGTTGACTGCCTGAGGTGTGAGGGGGTCTTGTTGACTGCCTGAGGTGTGAGGGGGTCTTGTTGACTGCCTGAGGTGTGAGGGGGTCTTGTTGACTGCCTGAGGTGTGTGTGAGGGGGTCTTGTTGACTGCCTGAGGTGTGTGTGAGGGGGTCTTGTTGACTGCCTGAGGTGTGAGGGGGTCTTGTTGAGTGCCTGAGGTGTGAGGGGGTCTTGTTGACTGCCTGAGGTGTGAGGGGGTCTTGTTGACTGCCTGAGGTGTGAGGGGGTCTTGTTGACTGCCTGAGGTGTGAGGGGGTCTTGTTGACTGCCTGAGGTGTGAGGGGGTCTTGTTGACTGCCTGAGGTGTGAGGGGGTCTTGTTGACTGCCTGAGGTGTGAGGGGGTCTTGTTGACTGCCTGAGGTGTGAGGGGGTCTTGTTGACTGCCTGAGGTGTGAGGGGGTCTTGTTGACTGCCTGAGGTGTGAGGGGGTCTTGTTGACTGCCTGAGGTGTGAGGGGGTCTTGTTGACTGCCTGAGGTGTGAGGGGGTCTTGTTGACTGCCTGAGGTGTGAGGGGGTCTTGTTGACTGCCTGAGGTGTGAGGGGGCCAGACAGACTCAGGGATAGGCAGGAGGGCAAACGTGGGCACATGCATGCACGACTGGGCTCCCGCTCCCCCTTTCCCCCCCCCCCCCCCCCCCACGTCATCATCCTTTCTATAAATATTTTAGTCTGGCAACACCTTGCTCACTGCCTGACGGGGGAGAGCAGGTTTCATTCATGTCGTTCCGGATCCCATCCACCCACTTCTGAGTCCACTCATACATCCTGCCTCTTCCCCCCACCACCCCACACCCCCCACCCACCACGAACACCTGTATCCCGCCCAATCTGGGGGCCCCAGATCACTCGGAACACCGTGAGTTCGTTCATGTCGTTCCAGATCCCATCCACCCCTCTCTCGCAAAATCTGCCATGTCTCGCCAACACTCCCCCACACGCGTGCCATCCTACCAATGTATGCCATGCCAAGCCATACCAGGAACCACAATGAAACCAGCCTCTCTCACTCGGAACACGGTGGGTTCAACATGTCGTTCCAGATCCCAAACACCCCTCTCTCGCAAAATCTCTACCACGTCTCGCCAACACTCCCTCACACGTGTGCCATTGTATGCCATGCCATACCAGGAACCACAATCAAAACAGCCTCACTCACTCGGAACACGGTGGGTTCAACATGTCGTTCCAGATCCCAAACACCCCTCTCTCGCAAAATCTCTACCACGTCTCGCCAACACTCCCTCACACGTGTGCCATTGTATGCCATGCCATACCAGGAACCACAATCAAAACAGCCTCACTCACTCGGAACACAGTGGGTTCAACATGTTGTTCCAGATCCCAACCACCCACCCCTCAACTCCCACCCGGGACTTGACTCAAAAGCCCCCCCTTCCTTCCCACTGACCCCTGTTCTTCCCTCCTCCCTCACCCACTCACTCGGAACACGGTGGGTTCAACATGTCGTTCCAGATCTCATCTACCTACTTCTGTGTCGACTCATACATCCTCCCCCTTCCCCCCCGCAAGCACCTGTTGCCCCCAACCACCAGCCTCACTCACTCGGAACACGGTGGGTTCGTTCATGTCGTTCCAGATCCCGTCCATCCCCTCCTGAGTCAACTCTTACGTCCCCAGTCCGCCCATTCCTCCCCCCCCACCCAACAAACACCTGTTCCCCTCCCTTACCGCCTCACTCACTCGGAACACGGTGGGCTCGTTCATGTCGTTCCAAATCCCGTCCACCCCCTCTCTCGCAAACTCTGCCACCAGGTCTCTCCACCACTCCCTTGCCCTCTGCATCGTGTAATCCGGAAACTTGCAGGGGCCGGGCCACACGTCGCCTGGATGCGGCGAACAGGGAGGGGGGAGGGAGATGGCAGTAAGATAGAGGAGATCTCGCGCCATTGTCTTCCTTACTTGGCAGTAAGGGAGGTTGGATGGCGCGAAGCAAAGGAATGGTGAAACCAGGTCTCGCCCCTGCCCGCTCCCACTCTCACTGCACTGTGAAGTCAGGGAACTTGCAGGGAACTTGCAGGGGCGGGGCCACATGTCACTTGGATGCACCATGGGAGGGAGAACGCAGGAGATATGGCTGGAGCAAAGGGCGAGGCAGGCAGCCTAGCGAGATGGTTATTCCGCCACCAAGTCTCGCCACCACTGCCTCTCCCCTGCTCGCCGCACGTTGTAGGGGAACAAGCACGTTGTAGCGGAACAAGCACGTTGTAGGGGAACAAGCACGTTGCAGGGGAACAAGCACGTTGTAGGGGAACAAGCATGTTGCTCTTGCCTTGAGAGGCACAGCACGTGCCACTATTAAAGTGGCAACAAGCACACCCATCTATAGTCACACTCACCCATGAAGGCGTGCCATGGGCATTCAAGACCCACACGTCTGTAATCCGCCCGCCCCATCCCCTGACTTCCACAGGCTGAATTGGTTTTTGAGAATTCTCAAAAACCAGTTCGGAGTACCCCTGCTCCTCCTTGACGCAGCATGTGGCAGCTCACTCAATAGCGCTCACCCAACTACAAGCAAGCATGCTCAAGATCCCACACGCACGAAGGGCGTGCTACTATAGCGCACACACATAAAGGGCATGCCACTATAGCCCACACCCACGAAGGGCGTGCTAATATAGTGCACACCCACAAAGGGCGTGCCACGGGCGTTCAAAATCCACACATCTCCCTTATCCCCCCACTCCACCGGTGCGTACCCCTGCTCCTCTTTAATTCCCAGGTCCAGCATCCAGACGGCCTTAAAGCCCGCCTGCTCCTTGACCTAACTACAAACGGCGTGCCATCAGCATTGAGAATCCACACGTCCTCGTCCTGACCCCCGAGTCCCGACTCCATAGGCGCGTACCCTGGCTCCTCCTTGATCCCCGGGTCCAGCATCCAGATGGCCTTAAAGCCAGTGTTGTTCCATCCAACAACAAGCCGGTTCAAGGCTTATCATTCATCTGCAAACTACCCAGCAGGAAACACAGCTCCCCACAAACACAGCTTCCCACTAGCACACCGTCTACAATCACACTCATGCACGAAGGGCGTGCCATTGGCATTGAGAATCTACACATCCGCCCCGTCTCCCAACTCCAGAGGCGCGTACCCCGGCTCATCCTTGATCCTCCGGTCCAGCATCCAGACGGCCTTACAGCCCGCCTCCTCCTTGACATACCTACAAAGGGCGCGCCATCGGCATTGAGAATCCACACGTCTGCCCCGTCTCCCGACTCCAGAGGCGCGTACCCCGGCTCCTCCTTGATCCCCGGGTCCAGCATCCAGATGGCCTTAAAGCCCGCCTCGTTCAGCCACCGAGCCAGCTTGAGAGGCTCGGGGAAGTTGGCCGGGTCAAAGGTGAAGCTCTTGTATCCGTCCATGTAGTCGATGTCCATCCACATCACATCGCACGGTATCTTCTTCTCTCGAAAGGCTTTTGCCACCTGCCAATGAGCAGCACACACACAGGCACACGATGCCAAACACTCAAGGGGTCTGGATTCTGGAAGAATGGACCAGGTCAAAGGTGAAGCTCTTGTAGCCGGCCATGTAGTTGATGCCCATCCACATGACGTCACACAATATCTTCTTCTCTTGAAACGTCTTTGTCACCTGCCAATGAGCGGCAGAGACAAAGAAGAGAGAGATGGGGGAGAGATTGGTCTGGAAGTTGAGCGGGTCGAAGGAGAGGCCCTTGTTGTACCCGGCCATGTAGTCGATGCCCATCCATCCATCGATCCATCCATCCATCCATCCATCCATCGTATGGAATGTCTGTTGAGTCACATCACATCGTATGGTAACTTTTTCTCCCCAAAAGTCTTGGCCGCCTGGAAGAAATGACAAGAGTGAGGGGGGCGGGGAATGGATGCCTGAAAGGTATACAAGTCAAAGGTGAAGCTCTTGTAGCCATCCGTGCGTCCATGTAATCTGTGTCCATGATCCATCCACCACATGACGTCACATGGCATGGGATCTAGTTTTGAGGCGCCTCAAAACATGACGTCACATGGGATGGGATGATCTTCTCCCTATAAGGTTCGTGCCACGTGTCAGCCAAATGGGGTGGGGAGCCAACGCTCCGAGTCTCCGACCGACCAATAGTCCGTAACATCTCCTATCGCGATCCTGTCAGTACATACATAAGCAGTAGCCTTTACAGCGTCCTGAGGCTTTGGCAATCGCTCGTTTCTCAATGAAGCGAATCCAGTACTATGAAGCATCCTACCCATCATTCACGCATCACCTCTCACCCCCTTTCACCGCTTCTCACCACTTCTAACTTGCCAGCTGACTCATAGCTGAAGCGACACTGCATATAACGTGATATATTCAACGCTTTATCCTCTTTCTCACCGCTTTTCACCGCTTCTCACCTCTTCCACCCTGGCAGCAGACTCATAGCTGAAGCGGCACTGCTGGTAGCCCAGCACCCAGCGTGCCGGGAGTGGGAGGGGACCTGGGAAAAGCAGGGAAGCAAGGGAAGTGAGGTGAGAGGGCAGAAGGAACAATTGGGGCAGTGGATGAAACGAACTTTGAGGGTGAAGTGAAGGGGCCGAGTAGGATCAGATGAGGGGTCTGTTTTTTAGGCGCCTCAACAATTTGCAGGGTACTTTTGAGAATTCTCAAAAATACCCTGCAAAGTGAAGGGGCCGCGTAGGATGAGATGAGGGGTCTGTTTTTGAGGTGCCTCAAAATAAGACTCCTCACGCGAGGTGAGAGGGCAGAAGGAAGGAACGATCAGGGACGTGGATGAAACAAACTTTGAGGGTGAAGTGAAGGGGCCGCAATAGGATGAGGCGGAAGGGAAGGGGTCGGTGCTCTCTGCACGGTGACTTTTGAGTTACCTGAGGGTGACTTTCGAGTAGCACCAGCGGCTAAAAGCCCCTCATTACTAGGAGAACGAGATTTGACTTGACTTGACCCACTCAACTCACCTGTGTGGCTTCACTAACGCCCTTTGACTCACTCATCTATGGCTTTCGCCAAGAGCTCCAGCAGATGTGCGGGGGAACTGGTGGGGCCGAACAGGATGATGGGGGGGGAGGGTCGATGCTCTCTCCGTCTCGAAGTGGACGCGTGTACGTGCAATCCTCACCAGAAGCCGTGTTGCTCGCACCCACCTGCTGCCACGTAACATATTTTTGTGGAAGCTGTGTTGCCCACCCACCCAACCATTGCCACCTGACACAACCACAACCTTTGAATTGAACCACACACCTCACCTGTGTGTGCGGCTTGGCTTCACGTACGCCCTTTGACCCACTCACCGATGGCCTTCGCCAAGAGCTCCAGCAGATGCGTGGGAGAACTGGTGGGGCCGAACAACAGGATGAGGGGGAAGGGAGCAGATGCAGTGACGCGGAGGGTGGGAGCTCCTCTCAGGTCCACCTGAACGTGGGTGGGATGCACAGAGATGGAGGGAGGATGGGTGTGCGAATGAGAACTGGTGGGGCCGAACAACAGGATGAGGGGGAAGGGAGCAGATGCAGTGACGCGGAGGGTGGGAGGGAGCGAGCGCCTCTACGGTCCACCTGAAGGGGGGAAGTCAGAGATGGAGGGAAAGATGAAGGCTGCAAGATGGCGGTACTACTACTGGGGGATTTTTGAGTCGACTCAAAAAGATGGAGGGAAAGTAAGGCTGCAAGATGGGGGTACTGAGTCTGGGGCGGAATAGGATGAGGTGGCAGGGAGCAGATGCAGTGAAGCAGAGGGTGGGAGGGAGCGCCTCCCCGGCCCACCTGAAGGCTGATCCAGCCGCAACTGAAGCTACTGGCACTCTGAAGGTCTACTGGCTGGTCCGGTCTAGGCTGAAGGCTCCCAGCAGCGAGTGGTGTCTGCCAATACTCCTGCTCAATCAACCCACCAGCTGCGTTGTCTGTACTCACCAGCAGGCATTCTCCTGTTCAACCCACCAGCTGCGTTGTATGTACTCACCTCACAGCACCGGGTGGTGTCTGCCAGGAAGCCAAGGTGACTTTTGAGTCGACTCAAATGTACTCACCTCGCAGCGCCGGGTGGTGTCTGCCAGGAAGCCAAGGTGACTTTTGAGTCGACTCAAATGTACTCACCTCACAGCGCCGGGTGGTGTCTGCCAGGAAGCCAAGGCAGCGGCCGTCAGGCAGCAGGGCGAACACCCAGGGATGCGACATGTAGAGCGAGGGGGTGCTGCCATTAAAGCCCCAGCAGTCCGTGTTCCAGGTGAATATCTGGTTCGGTTGTTGTGGGTGGGAGAGAAAGGTTTTGGAGAAGGTGGGTGCTGCCGTTAAAGCCCCAAGGGGAGGTTTTGGAGAAGGTGGGTGCTGCCATTAAGGCCCAGCAGTCCGTGTATCAGGTGAATATCTGGGGCGGGGCGATTGGGGTGGGGTGGGAGAGGAGGGGGAGGGAGGAAAGAGAGGGTGGGTGTGGACAGTGGAGAAAATCTTGAGCTGGGTGAGTGTGGAGAAATGGGGGGGAGAGGGTGGGTGTGTACGGGGGTGAGTGTGTGTGGGGGTGGGTGCGTGTGGAGGAACTCAGAAGAGCTGCCGGATCCGCACCCCAGCAGCAGCCCGTGTCCCACCAGAATATCTGGGGCAATTGAGGTGAGAAATGAGGGGGAGAGGGTGGGTGTGTGTGGGGGTGAGTGTGAGTGGGGGTGGGGGTGTGTGTGGGGGTGTGGACAGTAGAGGAACTCTTGAGCTGGCTCAAAGAGCTGCCGGCTCCCCACCCCAGCAGCAGCCCATGTCCCTGGTGAATATCTGGGGCAATTCAGGTGGAAAATGGGGGGGGAGGGTGGGTGTGTGTGGGGGTGCGGACAGTGGAGGAACTCTTGAGCTGGCTCAAAGAGCTGCCGGGCCGGGTCCCCACCCCAGCCGCAGCCTGTGTGTCCCACCAGAATATCTAGGGCAATTGGGGAAGGGGAGGCGAATCTGATCTGATCGTCAGCTGTCGTGGACACATACAGTTTGGGTTGGAACAGAGCTGGAATAGCGTACAGAGGGTGATTTTTGTGTCGACTCAAAAATCAGTTAGGAACAGAGCTGGAATAGGCTGCTGAGGGAAGCAAGGCGACGAGCGCAAGCAAAAGCAGCAGTTACGGCAGCAGGAGAAGCAGCAGCAGCAGCAGCAGCAGCAGCAGCAGCAGCAGCAGCAGCAGCAGCAGCAGCAGCAGCAGCAGCAGCAGCAGCAGGAGAAGCGGCAGCAGCAGCAGCAGGAGAAGCGGCAGCAGCAGCAGCAGCAGCAGCAGCAGGAGAAGCAGCAGCAGCAGCAGCAGGAGAAGCGGCAGCAGCAGCAGCAGCAGCAGCAGCAGGAGCAACGGCAGCAGTGGCAGCAGTCAGTCAGCCAGCAGCATCATCAGCACCCTTAGCATCAAACTCACCCGTTTCTTGCTCCTCTCCAGAGGCCCTCCCACCTCCCCTGTTCCATAGAAGGACGACCCCTCTGGCAGCTGGCAGGGAGGGGCGATGAATGCAGGTAGCAAGGGGGTAGTCGTGAACGAGTTGCAGCACGCGCATGCAATCCTGAACGAGTTTCGAGATGTCTCAAAACTGGATGAATCCAGGAAGCATGGGAAAATCGTGAGCACACGCATTCGAATGAAAATCCCTTATGGTGAGCAGGCAGAAGGGATGGACATGAATACAGTCTTCGCATTCAAACGGTCGAATTCACGAACTTGGATGGTAACCACTTGCTGGTCGTTTCGCGAGCTGAATTCCACGGTCACAGCAACCCCTGCAAGCACATCCTCGATTGAGAGTTCCTCGTTTCCCGAACCACCGCCTCCCAGCCGCTGCTCCCTGGCCGACGGGTCTGCGAATGAAAGAGACGGGAAGGCCGCCTTCCGAGAACCTTCGTCCGCGTCTAGGCGAAAGATACCCTCGGCGACTATGGGGGTTACGGCTACCCTCCCGCTGCTACTAGAACTATTCTTCTTGAAATCCGAAGGAATAGAAGAATTTAACGATCCTGTCATTGTCACGGATCGAGCGTCCTCGTTAGAAGCTGCTTCGGCGGACTTATTAGCAGGAAACGACCCGGAATCTGCACCCGAACCACCGGCTCGCGGATAAATCCCTCCCCTCCGCTCGCGAACTTCCCGCGAATGGGCCTGTCTATTGGCGCAACGATGTGCGCAAGTCGAACTTCGTGAAATCAGAGGGAATGGCAGTGGCTGGAGGAGGGGAGAGAAGGGAGCGACAGCACCAGCGATCATGGCAGTCAGCACTGGCTTTGCATTGCTTGGAGATCAGACGAAGGCGCTGTCAGGGCGTGGAACATATGCAGTTCCGAACAGTCAGAACGGTACAGTAATTTTAACAACGGTCTTGACATATTTCAGTAAAAACATTGCGTGGTAAAGTGCGGTTGAAGTTGGGACAGAGGCACGCGAGGGTAGAAATATAAAATATGAATTATTTGAAATTATGACAGACATGTCGATGTAGTATAATGGTCAGTATCTCCGCCTGTCACGCGGAAGATCCGGGTTCGATCCCCGGCATCGGCGTACTTTTGCACATAACCTGTTTCTGCTCGGTGATTAACGAGTAGGGCATGGTATTTCTTACCACTTATTTCACTTAAACCTACCTTCACCGTACTGAGCCGTGACGGGTGCAAGCTTGCGGGGCGATGCTTCGGGCTGACATTCATCACGTCCACTCTGGACAGGTAACGTCAATCTCTAGGCAGAACATCTGCTTGTTTGTACCTAATCTTTCCGAACGAGCTCCTCCTAATCTTGGGTTGAGTTGCAGAAGCGTCGATGTAGCATGCTTTGAAGTTATTTAGGGGCCTGATTTGGGATTATGGTGTTTGATGACGCGTATCAGGTGATAGGCTTCGTGGGAGGGTTGATGTTTCCGCTCTCCACAGCCGCTCAGACGTACAAGGTCCTCAAGACCCGATCAGCTACGGACATTAGCTACGCCTGGTGAGCTCCTAGGCTTGAGCTGGACGTTTTAAAAGTATCCGACGTCTTAGATAGACTTAATGCTTGTCGAATTGAGCAGCCGGCGTTAGGGTAAGCGGGCGCTGTTTTTTCGGGTAATTTGTTATATCTGAATTTCTTCATTAATATACCGCTAATACTTATGCCCTTGCTGGCATCGTGTTGTTATCCTTGTCTGCCTGTAAGCATTCGTTGAGTCTACCCTACCTTTTCCCTTTGTTGCTCACCGTTTCCTCCCTTTCCATTTCCCTTTGTTCCATGTCCCCTTTCTCGTCTCCTCCCCTAAAATCACCGTTCACGTTCAGGCAGCTCATTTTTGCCCTCGCGCATCTCCTGTACCTTGTATATTCTATTCATTTCGGTTTATGGGTCATTTACGTCCCTCAAGCCCTAGAGATTGTGCTGCTGATTTTTATGATTGTAGCAAAAGTGTATTTTGACAATTTTGGGCCAAGAAGCAAGCTGACACGAGCCACGGGAAAGAGCGCGTCTACCACAGGTAAGACCACCGAGTCTAGCGTTCCATTTTTCGTCTCCTGTGGAAACATAGTGTGTGTGCGTTGTTACTGGCATGTGGTAATTCCCTCTGGCCGTCATTCTTCGTTTTGCCCTCTTGCCGTCTCTCACCCCCCCTTCCGTCCTCTCTTCCCCCTTTCCCCACACCCCCCCTCCCTCTCCCCTTCTTCCTCTCAATTCGCCCCCTCCCCCCTCTCTCTCGCCCTCGTTTTTTCCCCCAGTTGCTCCTTTCCCCTCCCTTGTCATAACTTATGCATGTTCCATGCGTGTTCCTCGCAGCGATATTGGAGGCTGAACGAGCTCCGGACACATAGTTTTCTTCCGGCAAACCCTTCGGAACGGCACCTTCGTCTATCACAATTTTGACCTGAATCTGCATTTGAAGAACACCATAATACGGTAGCATCTTCCAACTCCACTCCTATTTGAGTTACACCAAAGTGTTTACCCTGCAAGGCCCCAAATTCCTCAAATGTTCATGCGTGTCAATCTTGGTCACATGATCACATCACATAATTTCTTAATGTACCCGAAGCGTTTTTTATTCAGGCGACTTGATTGTGTAGTGTACCGTAACATCTTGATGAGTGTAGCCCTGACAAGCAGCGCGGTGGGTCTGACGGGATGGGGAAGTTGCTGACACGGCATGAGAATTTTTGGTAGGGTTGTTGGGCTTCGCGAAGATCCCCAACGTGGCGAACGCTTCCCCTCTACGCCATCACCGCGTTGCACGAAACAGAGATCTGCCCGCCGCGAAGAAAGTTGTTCGAGAAGGTGACCGTTCACCCCTCCTTCCCTCCAAACCAGAGATCAGATAAATCCATAGACTGAAGCAAGAAAGCCTCGAAACGTTCAGTTCTGCTACCAGCCAGCCTCATCCCAGCTCATATTCCTCCAGGAACTTCTGCTAGGGTTTGTCATCGTCTTTATCCAGATTCCTCAGCGACCGCGACCTCCCTTCAGTTACCAAGTCTCTTCTTCCATCCTTCGTTCATGTCCGATCTAGAACTCGAGGTTCCTGGGGCCTTCGGTATGTGCAGAGCATGTTGCTGTCGTTCAGCTTAGCTTCCTTCTGTCCGTCTTTTTTTATGTGTAGGGCTTGTCTTGACCGTTCATATACCTGCTTGCAGACCCGTTTGCCGACGCGAATGCTGCTGATGATCCTGGAGCTGGAACTAAGGACTACGTCCATATCCGTATCCAGCAACGGAATGGTCGTAAGAGCCTGACGACTGTTCAAGGCTTGAATAAGGAGTTTAATTACAACAAGATTTTGAAAGATTTCAAGAAGGTAAGAGCCTTTTTTTTAACGCCGTGATCGGATGCTTATACATCAGTGGATGGCTAATTTGGGGGGTTCTGTTTATCTTCACAGGAGTTTTGTTGCAACGGAACTGTCGTTCAAGACATCGAACTGGGTCAGGTTGGTATTCGGTTTCTCGTCGCGGTTCAATCGGCTATATGTTCGGCTTTCTGAACGTCTGTTTGCCTTTCATATATTGCAGGTCATTCAGCTCCAGGGCGACCAGCGGAAGAACGTTTCTCAGTTCCTCATCCAGGCCGGTATTGCGAAGAAGGACCTCATAAAGATGCATGGTTTTTAATCTGTGTCTAATGATGAGGGGCTTACATGTTCCCCTGCAGATAGGCCTACCAGCTCTTAGAGGTAGGCTGTGTCGGCAGGGGAAGGGTCTGCTGTCTAGAATAGACATGAGATGGAGATGTAGTGCGGATTGGGATCAATGACCACATAACCTGTGTAATGCGCATATTTTCTACGTTCCAGGCTCAGTTTCTTATCCATAAGCGCACTAGTGTTTCTCCAGTGATGACTTATCAGATAGGCCAAGAAATCCAAGACTGAAACATCAGCACTGAACTGACATAAGTTCCTAAACAGAATTTGGCTGAAACTGCTAGCAAAAACTGGAATCAAGCGAAGAACAGATGCACATAACTGTACAGAGAGTGCCAGTTTGTCACATCACCTATGGAGTGGCTTGTACAAGACAAGAGTGACATACTTGGAGCGGAACCGATGCGTCAACCCGAGAGCAAGCACCGACCTTGCTGCTTTACCTTTCTCCACATACAGATGGTTCAAAATGACATGCTGCGGCCGAGGCAATGTCGTGGGAGCATCACCGGCAACAGGAACGTTGAGGAGGGTGAGCTGGAGATGAGGCGGAAGGAGGGGTGGCTCTTTGGCAAAATCTTCAGGAACAGGAAAGGGGTCATTGTAGCTGGAGACAGGAGACCGGGGAGGTTCAAATCCTGCTACATTGTCAAGGTTTTCCGGCACATACTCCTGCAGAGAGATCGCAAGGAAACCCGCGTCAGTCAGCAACAACTGTTATTGCACCACAAGTGTAAATACCATAAGCCAGGGACAACATACCTGCACTTCCAAAACGTTGTTCACGTTTCCCATCTCGTCGTACACAGCTGGGAGGTCAGGCGCATACCGCCACACATCATCCACAATGAACTTGTACTGGTAAACCCCAGGAGGCAGCATCTTGACAATTGTGAAGTCCTTGCCAGCACGCTGCAAAACTTGCCTGAAGGGGACAGCAAAACGAGCTTGCAAAACAGTTGCCAATAATGCATAACACTCTCTGTCTTATTATGTTGTTGGCTGTTGTATTATGGCATTGCAGTTCTTGGCTGATGACGTGGTTCATGAGCCTGGTGTGATGGCAGCCAGTTAATCAGCCAACGATTCCTTGACACCACTAGCATCCACTACACACACTGAACAGTTTGAGGGGTATGCACATACCTTGTCGTCCAGTTGTCCCATGACCCATCCACTGACACGTGGTTGCCTCCATGCGTCCATGTGATGAGTGTCGGCACTCCTTGCTCCCCGTCCGCCCCAGGCCCTCCCGCACCATCACCGCCATACCCTCCAAAGCCTGACCCCAGAGACAGCTCATCCGCCTTGGGGATAGGTGCCATGGGAATCTGCACATTTGAAAACGGAGGTATGAGTTGTCCAGAAGATCAAAATCGCCTCCCTAAAAAACTTTCACGGTCCACCTAACACACAGTTGCAAGTTCCTGGCGGACCTCTGGAAAGTTCGGGCGCACCTGAGCACACCTTGACTGACCTGCGGAGTAAACATGGCACAGACGGAGACCTGGCAGCACCGCTAGGGCTGTCAGGCGGGCTGTTCGTCGTAAAATTGATTCAAAAAATTCGCTTTCGCTTCACCAAACACACCCTAACTGACGTTCAGAGCGAACGCCGGTAGGGTTGTCAGGAGGTCGATGTAATTCTCAACTCGATTCGTATGGGGAACGGACATGAGCAGACTCACCGGCGGAGTGAACATAAGCGGGGAATTCGCAGCGGCGCTAGGGCTGTCACGCGGGCTGTCATAGGGCAGTCCCCATGGAGTCGATTATCTCGGGGGGAATGAATATAATAATTCCTCAACTAGGCGCAGATGCGAGTGATCATTAGCGAAGCCTCACTTGCGGAGTGAACATGAGCGGCGACCTCGCAGCGCCGCTAGGGCTGTCAGGCGGGCTGTTCCCCATGGAGTCGTTGGAGTGCGATCGACCCAGCCGCGACGCCAATCGTCGCCCGCTCTCAGGCACCGGTCGCCCTTCCATGCTGCTGCGACCCTTATCGCGGCCTTGCGCGTTCCCCATTGTCGCTCGATGCTGACGGTAGCGCGGATATTTGGTGAAGTCAGTCAGCTGCTACTGCTTTATAAGGGTGAAAGGAAAACAGAACTTTAACGACTAACACTCACACGAAGACCGGTTGAACGGAGAATTGTGAAAACCTCACAAGAGCTAGGATAAGACTAGGAACATGGAATAAGGATCCTGCAGACTACGAACTAACTGAGGTCATCACCCCACACCTAGAGAAGGAGTATCATATGGTGGTCAGCTTTCAGGTTCTATCCACGTTTGGATATCAACCAACCAGCTAGTCGCAGGGATGGATAACGACGGTCTGGGTAACAATCTTGAGCGACCTTCAAAACTCCAAATGTAGTATTGTTGTAACAAGGTTGTTCGCAGATCAGCTCGACCACGAGACTAAATTGTCTGACCCCCTTGACCGTTTCGAGATGATGTCGACATGAGACTCTGAATCGAACCACGAGGAGGTGCACGCTTGTGTTTAAAACTGCAACGATACTGAAACTTTTCGGTTGAGATTGATGTTCTAGTACGCTTCATCAAGCTACATCGGTGAAACACGGTACTCCGCGAGGTTCAGAAGGTGATCCTGGTAACCAGACGTAAACTGAGTCAAAATCATCAGGCTTCGAAACAGGCGCTTTTCTGCAACCTTAGGGCGCGGGACATCGGTTGCGTTACGCCAAATTCCGAACCATTACGTATTTTTGGGCAGTACGAACCATTCCAGCGATGGTTCGAACCACCTGCCGAATCATGCATGTTGGTAGGTGCCAACCTGTGACGTTCAAAGTTGTGAAATTCGAACTCCTTGTTTCGAATTTGCGCGAAACTTAGAGACGTTTCGCCAGCATACATAGCGTCGCGAACACCCCGCGGCTCGTCAATCTGAAGTTTGGCTGTGCGACAATTGTTTTCGCGGCAGATTTTCGTGAGTTCGCCAACCGCCAACAGGGTAGGCAGCTCGTACGTGGCGGGGTGGTCGTTCGAACGGGTGAATTCGTGACGCATGTTCCATCGCCGTTATGATTTGGGCGAGGAATTTTGCCTTCACGCGAAATGCGCTTACGAAAATCGGCGAACGCAGTACTGACCCTGAAATGCATACCGTTATCGATATTACGAGTCGGATGTCCCGCGCCCTTAGTTGAGCTTCCAATCAGTCGGAACCTTTCCCAACCCCCTTTGAACTATCCGCCTGCCCAGCCCAGCCCTCAGCTCCCGCGCCACATTTCACCCCTTATGGTCAGGCATATTCACGGCCGCCTTTGCCGGGGGATCTAGAATCTAGATTGTCTAACTAGAACAGCCATCATCCCACAGAATAGTGCCGCCGTCAACATTCCGGCTTTTAGTCTTGAAAAAAGACTTGTCGACTGACCCCGTGGAACGGTTTTGTCGACTAAGAAGTAAAAACGATCACGCGTGCCGTGCAGCGTAGAAACTCCTCTCCTCCGACTGTCGCCCAATCTCCACCGTTTGTCAGCCATGGAAGTCGACGCTCGCGAGGCGTGCCGGATCTATGTCGGCCGCTTGTCGACGCGCACGCGAATGCACGACCTGGAAGACCTCTTCTCCAAATACGGAAAGTGCGTGCTTTCAAACAACCATTCTATCCCTTTTCACCGATCTGCGCCGTACTATTTCCTTGAAGTTCCTAGCTTGATACTGTTCAACAGCTTGCTAGTGTAAGCTTGCGAATTTTTCTAAAGCGCCACGGGCTTATCGGCGTGGTAACCCGCTCCAGACCTTCCCCTGAGTTTCACGTTACGAATTTGGTGGAAAAAAGGAGTTACAGGCGTCGCCGACCAATCACCTGCTCAATTTTGAGGCTAAAAAAAAATACAGGCGTCGCCGACCAATCAGCTGCTCAGCCGTTTCATGCTGCTGCGAGAGGCCTTGCTTCAGCGCTCCACATGAGGCGAGATTTTTCCGACTCACCTCTCAACATTGTCCCCACACGACTTACAGTATTTTAAGTTGTTGGACAAGTTTAAGTTGTTAAAGCCCAGCAACTTAAAGCATGACTCCCAAGGTGCTTATCCGGGCCATCACCAACGGTCGTGACTCGTGTTTCATTCTGGCGCGTCGGATCCTGCCCTCCTTGCCTGGCGTCAAATCCCGGCCGTCAAGCCCTGGCTCCTGATGCTGGACCCCCCGTCCCGGGTCCTGCTTGTACCGCGTACTTGTATCAGCTCCAGAATACTTGTATCGCGTATTCTGGAGCTGGAGTGGTCGGCTCTCCATGTCCCGGGCCTTCTGAGTTGACTCAAAAGCAGTGGTCGGCTGTCCATGTCCCCTGCCTGCTCACGCCAAGCGAAGTTGGGTTGGGAGCAGTGATTACTACGTGGCACGGCGCAACTGCCCTTTTCCGACAGGGCCAGCAACTTAACGCCCGGGCACGTGAATATATTATCTCGTGCATCACCTCACCATCCTCCGTTTGTGCCTCCCTCAGCCTCAACTCACCTTCTTCTATCACTTCTTCTGCATGTCTGTGAAGGCATGTGTGGCTGCCTGCCTCCCTGGCTCCCTGGGATCCCCCCCCTGTACCCTCACGGTTCACCCTGCTGCCCCCCCCCCCCCCCCCCTCCCCCTCTCCCTCTCTCCCGCTGTATTTTGAGTCGACTCAAAATACAACTGCCTGCCTCCCTGGCTCCCTGGGATCCCCCCCCTGTACTTTCACGGTTCACCCTGCTGCCTGCCCCCCCCCCTCCGCCTCTGCCTCTCTCCCGCATTCCACCCTCTCTCCACTCCGCTCCATTCCGTCTAAGTGACTGGGTGGGTCTTCCACTCCCCTCTCCTTGCCTTCCTCCTTCATTTTTCCTCTCCCTTTTCCTCTCCCTCCCTTCCCTCCCTCCTCCTGTCTCCACTTCCTCCTCCTTCGCCCATCTCTCCTTCTCCTTCCGCGTCGTCTTCTCCCCCTCCCTCTCTTCCTCTCCATCTCCCTCTCTCCCGCTCGCTCCCCGACCATCCCCCTCAACCCCTTCTCTTCTCTTCTCTTCTCTCTTTCCGATCCGCCTCCTCCCACTCCCCCCAATCTGTGGACGTCTGTGGACGTCTGTCATTGCACCTGCTGTGGCGTCACTGCATCTGTGCTGTGGTTCTGCGCCTGCTTCTGCTCGATGGACGCCTGCTGCTGTTGCTGCCTCGTGGCCCCCTGCTGCTGCCCTGTCGGTTCCTGCTGCTGCCCTGTCGGTTCCTGCTGCCGCCGTGTTGCCGCCTTCAAACGGGCGCTGCGTCATGCTTGGAACACGTGCGTTGCTTGGGCGGCTGTTTGGGCGGCTGCTTGGGCGGCTATCCTTGTGGTGTGGCGCCTGCTGCCTTGGTGTGCCCGTCGACTTGCACTGGCGCTGTCTGGGCGGCTGCGTGGGCGGCTGCATGGACGGCTGCATGGACGCCTGTTCTTATGGCGTGGCGCCTGTTGCCGTGGCGTTGCTGGCTTCTCGTTCCGGCGCTGCCTGGACGTCTGGCCGTGCGTATTACCCCGGGCCAACCACCCACCCACCCACCGCAGGGTGAAGAGAGTTGATCTGAAGACCGACTTTGCCTTTGTGGTAAGACTCGTGCAAGCATCATTGGCTAGGCCATTTCCCTTGGATGCCAAGTATCCGCCTTCAAGCGTTCAGTCACTAAGGCTACGGAGGAGGTGGACCTCAAGTCGGACTTTGACTTTGTGGTATGACGCTTGCATGGGTTCTCAATCATTCTCCATGCGGTGAATCTTCCTCTCCTACACCCCCTCTCCCACTCCGTCCCCCTCTCCCTATTGGAGTCTCCCCCTCCCCTCCCCCTCCCCCTCTCCCGTCTTCACCGTCACGTCACCATGCCACCTCCTCCTCCTCCTTCACCGCCTGGGCCGTTTTTGAGTCGACTAAGAAATCATCTTTCTCCCTCCCGGTTTCGCCGTCACCGTGCCATCCTTCTCCCTTCTCCATCATCACCGCGCCACCTCCTCCCCTTCACTGCCTGGGCCGTTCCCACGTCGACTTAAGAATCATTCCGTTCCCGGCCTTTCCATCACCGTGCCATCCTTCTGCATCGCTGCCTGCCTAGGCCATCCCAACAATACCAGCCTCGATATACTACATTCTCCACATGTCTACTTCCGCACTCTTCCCCCCAACCTACCACCCTTACCACCCTCACTCGCCCCTCCCTTCTCCACCGTGAGTGGCGACAAGCTCGAATCAAGCATTTCCGTGGAGTCCCCCTCGCCCTTGCCCACATCATCCGTAATGTCTATGGGGCAGACTTTGAAAACCACTTGCAACGGCCATCGCTACCTCCCCGTTCACATTGACTATGGGGCCAGACGCCTGAACCCACTAGCAACCGCCATCACTGCTTCCTCTTCGACATTGACTGTGGGGCCAGACGCCATATTCACTTGCAACGGCCACTGCTACCTCCTCGTCCGCATTGACTATGGGGTGATCGATTCCTTAGCCCACTTGCAACTGCCATCGCTGCTTCCTCTTCGACATTGACTATGGGGCCAGACGCCTAAACCCACTAGCAACCGCCATCACTGCTTCCTCTTCGACATTGACTGTGGGGCCAGACGCCATATTCACTTGCAACCGCCATCACTGCTTCCTCTTCGACATTGACTATGGGGCCAGACACCATATTCACTTGCAACCGCCATCACTGCTTCCTCTTCAACATTGACTATGGGGCCAGACGCCATATTCACTTGCAACCGCCATCACTGCTTCCTCTTCGACATTGACTGTGGGGCCAGACGCCATATCCACTTGCAACGGCCATCGCTGTCTCTTCATCCGTGTCGATAACCAACACCAAGCTCCTCTGTCTCTTTCCGCTGTTCGAAATTCGACGCTCCTGTTTCGTCGTCGTTTGCGAGGCGCATCTGTGAGATTTTCAGAACCGCTTGGTGCCTCATCGTTCACAGCCGCCTCATCTCCACCACCCCCGTGGGTGAGTCCACCGCCTCTGGACTCTCTTCCGCTGAGATCTTCAACATCCTGCTCCTCCTTCCTTGCTCACTCATTTTGCGCACCCCTGCAGCGCCAGCAGGGAAGGGGTGGCACCTCCTGCTCCTCCTTTTCCGCCTTCCCGTGATGCACCTCTTGCGGGAAGGCAAGAGGCATCTGGTGGCGTCAACCTCCTGTTGCATCTGCCTCTTGCCCCTGGTGGCGTCAACCTCCTGTTCCTCCTCCCTGGAACCCACTCCCCCTTTTCCTCTCTATCTCGACACTGCTCCTCCACAGTCCACTCCACCCACTGTCCACTCCACTCACGGTCCACTCCACCCACTGTCCACTCCACTCACGGTCCACTCCACTCACGGTCCACTCCCACTCCACTGTCCACTCCACCCACTGTCCACTCCACCCACTGTCCCACTCCACCCACTGTCCACTCCACCCACTGTCCACTCCACCCACTGTCCACTTCCACTCCCACTCCCCACTGTCCACTCCACCCACTGTCCACTCCCACCCACTGTCCACTCCACCCACTGTCCACTCCACCCACTGTCCACTCCACCCACTGTCCACTCCCACCCCTCCACCCTGTCCACTCCACCCACTGTCCACTCCACCCACTGTCCACTCCACCCACTGTCCACTCCACCCACTGTCCACTCCACCCACTGTCCCCCACTCCACCCACTGTCCACTCCACCCACTGTCCACTCCACCCACTGTCCACTTCCACCCCACTGTCCACTCCACCCACTGTCCACTCCACCCACTGTCCACTCCACCCACTGTCCACTCCACCCACTGTCCACTCCACCCACTGTCCACTCCACCCACTGTCCACTCCACCCACTGTCCACTCCACCCACTGTCCACTCCACCCGCTGTCCACTCCACCCCTGTCCACTCCCCACCCTCCACCCACTGTCCACTCCACCCACTGTCCACTCCACCCACTGTCCACTCCACCCACTGTCCACTCCACCCACTGTCCACTCCCAACCCCCCCCACTGTCCACTTCCACCCACTGTCCACTCCACCCACTGTCCACTCCACCCACTGTCCACTCCACCCACTGTCCACTCCACCCCACTGTCCACTCCACCCCTGTCCACTCCACCAGCTGTCCACTCCACCCACTGTCCCACTCCACCCCCACTGTCCACTCCACCCACTGTCCACTCCACCCACTGTCCACTCCACCCACTGTCCACTCCACCCACTGTCCACTCCACCCACTGTCCACTCCACCCACTGTCCCTCACTCCACCCACTGTCCACTACTCCACCCACTGTCCACTCCACCCACTTGTCCACTCCACCCACTGTTCCACTCCACCCACTGTCCACTCCACCCACTGTCCACTCCACCCACTGTCCACTCCCACCCACTGTCCACTCCACCCACTGTCCACTCCACCCACTGTCCACTCCACCCACTGTCCACTCCACCCACTGTCCACTCCACCCACCCCACCCACTGTCCACTCCACCCACTGTCCACTCCACCCACTGTCCACTCCACCCGCTGTCCACTCCACCCACTGTCCACTCCACCCACTGTCCACTCCACCCACTGTCCACTCCACCCACTGTCCACTCCACCCACTGTCCACTCCACCCACTGTCCACTCCACCCACTGTCCACTCCACCCACTGTCACTCCACCCACTGTCCACTCCACCCACTGTCCACTCCACCCCACTGTCCACTCCACCCACTGTCCACTTCCACCCCACTGTCCACTCCAACCCCACTGTCCACTCCACCCACTGTCCACTCCACCCACTGTCCACTCCACCCACTGTCCACTCCACCCACTGTCCACTCCACCCACTGTCCACTCCACCCACTGTCCACTCCACCCACTGTCCACTCCACCCACTGTCCACTCCACCCACTGTCCACTCCACCCACTGTCCACTCCACCCACTGTCCACTCCACCCACTGTCCACTCCACCCACTGTCCACTCCACCCACTGTCCACTCCACCCTTCCACTCCACCCACTGTCCACTCCACCCACTGTCCACTCCACCCACTGTCCACTCCACCCCTGTCCACTCCCACCCACTGTCCACTCCACCCACTGTCCACTCCACCCACTGTCCACTCCACCCCACTGTTCCACTCCCACCCACTGTCCACTCCACCCACTGTCCACCCCCCTCCACCCCACTGTCCACTCCACCCACTGTCCACTCCACCCACTGTCCACTCCACCCACTGTCCACTCCAACCCACTGTCCACTCCACCCTGTCCACTCCACCCACTGTCCACTCCACCCCACTGTCCACTCCACCCACTGTCCACTCCACCCACTGTCCACTCCACCCACTGTCCACTCCACCCCTGTCCACTCCACCCACTGTCACTCCACCCACTGTCCACTCCACCCACTGTCCACTCCACCCCTGCCACTCCCCCCTGTCCACTCCACCCACTGTCCACTCCACCCACTGTCCACTCCACCCACTGTCCACTCCACCCACTGTCCACTCCACCCACTGTCCACTCCACCCACTGTCCACTCCACCCACTGTCCACTCCACCCACTGTCCACTCCACCCACTGTCCACTCCACCCACTGTCCACTCCACCCACTGTCCACTCCACCCACTGTCCCACTCCCACCCACTGTCCACTCCACCCACTGTCCACTCCACCCACTGTCCACTCCACCCACTGTCCACTCCACCCACTGTCCACTCCACCCACTGTCCACTCCACCCACTGTCCACTCCCACCCACTGTCCACTCCACCCACTGTCCACTCCACCCACTGTCCACTCCACCCACTGTCCACTCCACCCACTGTCCACTCCACCCGCTGTCCACTCCACCCACTGTCCACTCCACCCCTGTCCACTCCACCCTGTCCCTCACCCACTGTCCACTCCACCCACTGTCCACTCCACCCACTGTCCACTCCACCCACTGTCCACTCCACCCACTGTCCACTCCACCCACTGTCCACTCCACCCACTGTCCACTCCACCCACTGTCCACTCCACCCCACTGTCCACTCCACCCACTGTCCACTCCACCCACTGTCCACTCCACCCACTGTCCACTCCACCCACTGTCCACTCCACCCACTGTCCACTCCACCCACTGTCCACTCCACCCACTGTCCACTCCACCCACTGTCCACTCCACCCACTGTCCACTCCACCCACTGTCCACTCCACCCACTGTCCACTCCACCCACTGTCCACTCCACCCACTGTCCACTCCACCCACTGTCCACTCCCCCCCCCCCCCCCTGTCCACTCCACCCACTGTCCACTCCACCCACTGTCCCACTCCACCCACTGTCCACTCCACCCACTGTCCACTCCACCCACTGTCCACTCCACCCACTGTCCACTCCACCCACTGTCCACTCCACCCACTGTCCACTCCACCCACTGTCCACTCCACCCACTGTCCACTCCACCCACTGTCCACTCCACCCACTGTCCACTCCACCCGCTGTCCACTCCACCCGCTGTCCACTCCACCCGCTGTCCACTCCACCCGCTGTCCACTCCACCCACTGTCCACTCCCCCCGTCCACTCCACCCACTGTCCACTCCACCCACTGTCCACTCCACCCACTGTCCACTCCACCCACTGTCCACTCCACCCACTCCACCCACTGTCCACTCCACCCACTGTCCACTCCACCCACTGTCCCCCCCCCTCCACTCCACCCACTGTCCACTCCACCCACTGTCCACTCCACCACTGTCCACTCCACCCACTGTCCACTCCACCCACTGTCCACTCCACCCACTGTCCACTCCACCCGCTGTCCACTCCACCCACTGTCCACTCCACCCACTGTCCACTCCACCCACTGTCCACTCCACCCACTGTCCACTCCACCCACTGTCCACTCCACCCACTGTCCACTCCACCCACTGTCCACTCCACCCACTGTCCACTCCACCCACTGTCCACTCCACCCACTGTCCACTCCACCCACTGTCCACTCCACCCACTGTCCACTCCACCCACTGTCCACTCCACCCCTGTCCACCCCCCCTGTCCACCCCCCACCCGCTGTCCACTCCACCCACTGTCCACTCCACCCACTGTCCACTCCACCCACTGTCCACTCCACCCGCTGTCCACTCCACCCGCTGTCCACTCCACCCACTGTCCACTCCACCCGCTGTCCACTCCACCCGCTGTCCACTCCACCCGCTGTCCACTCCACCCGCTGTCCACTCCACCCACTGTCCACTCCACCCACTGTCCACTCCACCCACTGTCCACTCCACCCACTGTCCACTCCACCCGCTGTCCACTCCACCCGCTGTCCACTCCACCCCGCTGTCCACTCCACCCACTGTCCACTCCACCCACTGTCCACTCCACCCACTGTCCACTCCACCCACTGTCCACTCCACCCACTGTCCACTCCACCCACTGTCCACTCCACCCACTGTCCACTCCACCCACTGTCCACTCCACCCACTGTCCACTCCACCCACTGTCCACTCCACCCACTGTCCACTCCACCCACTGTCCACTCCACCCACTGTCCACTCCACCCGCTGTCCACTCCACCCGCTGTCCACTCCACCCGCTTACCACTCCACCCGCTGTCCACTCCACCCGCTGTCCACTCCACCCGCTGTCCACTCCACCCACTGTCCACTCCACCCACTGTCCACTCCACCCACTGTCCACTCCACCCACTGTCCACTCCACCCACTGTCCACTCCACCCACTGTCCACTCCACCCACTGTCCACTCCACCCACTGTCCACTCCACCCACTGTCCACTCCACCCACTGTCCACTCCACCCACTGTCCACTCCACCCACTGTCCACTCCACCCGCTGTCCACTCCACCCGCTGTCCACTCCACCCGCTGTCCACTCCACCCGCTTACCACTCCACCTGCTGTCCACTCCACCCGCTGTCCACTCCACCCGCTGTCCACTCCACCCACTGTCCACTCCACCCACTGTCCACTCCACCCACTGTCCACTCCACCCACTGTCCACTCCACCCACTGTCCACTCCACCCACTGTCCACTCCACCCACTGTCCACTCCACCCACTGTCCACTCCACCCACTGTCCACTCCACTCACGGTGGACCCCTTCTCCCGCGAACCCTCGTCCCGCCTCCCCCCGGTGCACCTCCTCTGCCTCTTGGCGCTCTTCCGCTGCCATCTTCCATCAACCTCCTGCTCCACTTTCCGTCGCAGCAACCGTTGCATGCTCCAGCAGCTACGACTGCAGCGACAGCAGCCGCGGCAGCAACCGCAACCGCAGCAGCAACAGCAGCAGCAGCAGCAGAATCCATCCTCTCGGTCCCTTCCATGCGCCCTCCCGTCCTCCTACCCCGCACTCACTTGATCCCATTCTCTGCCCACCTGTATTTTGATATGGGTCCATTGGTCTCGCCTCCTACCCCGCACTCACTTGATCCCATTCTCTGCCCACCAGCCCAGCCGCACCAGTCGCAACGGCGGTGCAATGACACGGTGGTGGATGGAGCTGATCCTGATGTCGCACCAGTCTCAATGGCGGTGCTGATGCGCCATTCCCTCAACACCGTTCCCTTCCTACTGTGTCGAGGTGCTGACAGGAGTTTGGGAATGCGAGGGAAGCCCAGCGGCGGTGCGATGCCATGGTGGTGCGATGGCACGGTGGCGGATGGAGCTGTTTCTGATGCGCCTTGAATTCGGTGATCCCCTTCCTACTGTTGTAGCTGCCTGCGGCTGTTTCCGTGCTGGCAGGAGTTTGGGAATGCAAGGGACGCCCAGGAAGCCCAGCAGCAGTGGGATGGCACAGTGGTGGATGGAGCTGTTTCTCAGGCACCTGAAATTCGGTGATCCCCATCCTCCTGTTGTTTCCGTGCTTGCAGGAGTTTGGGAATGCGAGGGACGCCCAGGAAGCCCAGCGGCGGTGCGATGGCACGGTGGTGGATGGAGCAAGGATTGTGGTCGAGATGTCAAAAGGGGTGAGTGCCGCAGGATGGTGGCTGTGGTGATTGTGGTGATTGTGCTTACATGTGGTTGGCGCATCTTGCGATGGCACGGTGGTGGATGGAGCGAGGATTGTGGTGGGTGGAGATGTCAAAAGGGGTAGGTGAAGGATGGTGATTGTGGTAATTGTGAAGGTATTATGTGGTTGTCGCTATTGCGTGTTTTGACAGCCTGGAGTTGGACGGCGCAAGGATTGTGGTCGACATGTCAGAAGGAATAAGTGTGTCAGAAGGAGTCCGTGGATTATGGCAATTGTGGGTAGGGTTGCTGGTTCTGTTTCGTGGCTGCTCCTAGTGCATGTGGCTATGGCTTGCTGCAACCAACCAGGTTACCTACTCAGCTGCTCTTTCTGCGCCTTTCCATTCCTCCTACCGACCTCACCCATCCCCCCCCACACCGCCCCCTTCCTCCCTTCCCCCCCCCCACCTCGCGCCTGCAAGCCACCAGGAACTAAGCCTCTCTCCACTGCTTCAGCTGTGCTGTGGGTATACGACCAGCTTTCCAAGGAATTTCCCTTCACCTCACCTATCTCCACTGCTTCAGAAACAGTCACAGCTTAAGTGCGTTCACCTCACTTATCATATCCGTTTCTCTCCCCTTCTTTCCCTTTCCCCTTGCAGCCCAGCAAGGGCGACGCCTCTCCCCGCTGCTTCAGCTGCGGGTTGTACGGCCACCTCTCCAAGGACTGCCCGCAGCAGCAGTCGCAGCTCATGTGCTTCGGCTGCAACCAGCCGGGCCACGTGCACAAGCACTGCCCCTTCCGGGCTGCCATGACTCCTCCTGGCATGATGCTACCTGGTGCGATGGTTGGGGCGATGGCTGGCGGCACAATGCCCGGCGCTGGCGACATGCTAGAGGCGCCTAGAAGCCACGCCAGGTGCTTCGGGTGCAACGAACCTGGACATGTGCTCAAGGACTGCCCTACTGTCGCTGGTAAGGCTGCTCTAGGTTCTCTTGGCTCCCACAGGTGAGGCTCCTCTTGGGTGCAACGAACCTGGACATGTGCTCAAGGACTGCCCTACTGTTGCTGGTAAGGCTGCTCTAGGTTCTCTTGGCTCCCACAGGTGAGGCTCCTCTTGGGTGCAACGAACCTGGACATGTGCTCAAGGACTGCCCTACTGTTGCTGGTAAGGCTGCTCTAGGTTCTCTTGGCTCCCACAGGTGAGGCTCCTCTTGGTGCTGCTTCTGGTGCTTTGGGTGCAACGAACCTGGACATGTGCTCAAGGACTGCCCTTCTGTTGCTGGTGAGTCCTCTCCCTTGGTGCTGCTTCGGGTGCTTTTGCGTGCAACCATCCAGGCCACTTGCCCCTTCCACTCTCACATAGTGCTGCCTGGGAGGATACTGTGTGGCATGAGTCTATTTTTGAGGCGCCTCAAATAGACTCCCCAAGCACTGCCCCTCCTGCTCTGGCATAGTGCTGCCCGGGAGGATACTGCCTGGGAGGATACTGCCTGGGAGGATACTGCCTGGGAGGATGCTGCCTGGGAGGATACTGCCTGGGAGGATACTGCCTGGGAGGATACTGCCTGGGAGGATGCTGCCTGGAAGGATGCTGCCTGGGAGGATGCTGCCTGGGAGGATGCTGCCTGGGAGGATATTGCCTGGGAGGATGCTGCCTGGGAGGATGCTGCCTAGGAGGATGCTGCCTGGGAGGATGCTGCCTGGGAGGATGCTGCCTGGGAGGATGCTGCCTGGGAGGATGCTGCCTGGGAGGATACTGCCTGGGAGGATACTGCCTGGGAGGATACTGTCTGGGAGGATACTGCCTGGGAGGATGCTGCCTGAGAGGATACTTCCCGAGAGGATACTGCCTGTGAGGATACTGCCCGGGAGGATGCCTCTCATGCCACTCGCACTGCAGCTGCTGGCGGTTTTTCTCTCATCCGTGGGCGCTGCTGCTGCTGCTGCTGATGATGATGAGCAGAGGGGTCACCCCGGGCGGGAGAAGCACCACTCGCCTCCTGCATTTGCTGCCCCTAACCTCAGCACTGCCTCACGAGTCACGTCATTCTCGCATCCTCTGCTTTCGTTCCATTCTTCCATGCAGGTGTGGGCGCTACTGCTGCTGCTGATGAGCCGGGGGGTCACCGTGGGCGGGAGAAGCGCTATCCGCCTCCTTCTCCCACTGCTGCTGATGCCTCTCATGATACTCCTCGCACTGCTGCTGCTTACGGTTTTGCTCTCATCCGTGCAGGTGTGGGCGCTGCTGCTGCTGCTGCTGCTGATGAGCAGGGGGGTCACCGTGGGCGGGAGAAGCGCTACTCGCCCCCTGCTGCTGATGTGGCTCATCGTAATACTCGCACGCGGCACCAGTCGCCACACAGGTGGGTTTCATGTGCGTGCTGATTTTGGTTCTGCATTAGCGCTCCTCCCTGCAGTAGCGCTTCTCCCTGCAGTAGCGCTCCTCCCTGCAGTAGCGCTCCTCCCTGCAACAGTGCTCAGAATCGCTGCTGCGGGGAGGAGCACCCACCCAGGAGAGATGAGATGAGTCAGGACGTGTCGCTTAAATATTTGAAATTCAGTACGTTTCCTGCTCTCATTCTCCTGCTCTCAGCCTCCTGCTCTCAGCCTCCTGCTCTCAGCCTCCCGCTCTCAGCCTCCTGCTCTCAGCCTCCTGCTCTCACTCCCCTTCTCTCAGCCTCCTGCTCTCAGCCTCCTGCTCTCAGCCTCCTGCTCTCAGCCTCCTGCTCTCAGCCTCCTGCTCTCAGCCTCCTGCTCTCAGCCTCCTGCTCTCAGCCTCCTGCTCTCAGCCTCCTGCTCTCAGCCTCCTGCTCTCAGCCTCCTGCTCTCAGCCTCCTGCTCTCAGCCACCTGCTCTCAGCCTCCTGCTCTCAGCGTCCTGCTTTCTCAGCTTCCTGTTTGCTTTGATTCCTTGTCTCGCTGATCCCCCTCCCCTTCCTGCCTTCCTCCCTTCCCCCCCCTTCCATCCCCTTCTCCCCCCACTGTCCCACATTATCTTCTGACCCCTGCCCACTGCGGTGATGGCTGTCTCTTGGGGCTCGTTCAAAACCCGGGTTTCGTCTTGATCTTGAGTCGACTCAACAGCCGTGACTTGAGGGACAGGCTTGGGGGGGTCGAGAGCAGCAGGTCAGGGGGGCAAAGGCTGGGGAGGGACGAGAAGGGAGGGGAGGAGAGGGGACGAGAGGAGAAGAGGAGGGACGAGAAGAGAGAGGGGGGCAGGGGGCGAGAGGAAAGGGACAGGGAGGAGAGGGAGAGGGGGAGGAGTGTGAGGGATGGGGAGAGAGGTAGGGAGAGGGAGAGGGAGAGGGAGAGGGATAGGAGTGGGGGAGACAGGGGAAGAGAGAGAGGGAAGGACGATCTGGGCGGGGGGAGGGAGGAGAAGGGGCGTGGTTATAACGAGCGTGGCAGTGGAAGCTTGCACCCATCTACATTTACCAGTCCAGGGAGCAAGAGGGCCCGTGACAGTAACGACCGTGACTATAGGGATGGCCAAAGGGATTATCCCCGCAGCCCAAAGCCCGAGGCTCGGCTTGTGATGACTGTTCCTGTTACTCACACACCTGCTCCCTCGTATACCCTCATGCCTCCTCCTGCTGCTGCCCCTCTTTCACACATGCCTTATGGTGGAACGCCTTATAATGAGTCGCCTTACGGCGGTACGGCTTATGAAGCCACGGGGGATGGGGGCCAAGCTCTTAGCTCTCTGGATGTGGGTGGCAGAGTGGGCGGCGGTGTGGGCGGCAATGTGGGCGGCAGTGTGGGTGTGGGAATGGGTGGTGGTGGCGGTTTGATGTACGGGCAGGGTGGAACATCTACAGCTATATTCACAGCTTCGGGTGCAATGGGTGTCACTGTGCCTGCTCCTACTTTCTCCCAAACTCCTGGTGCTTCCCAAGGCCCTCCTGCTGCTGTATCTGGCCCTCCTGGCGATCCCTACACTCACATACCTCACATACCTGCAGGGACGGGGCAAAGAGGGAGCCTGCCTGGAACGGGCATGGCTGGAGTTGTGGGTGGTATGGTGGTTGGTGGTGCAGGGGGGATGGGGGGTGGTGGCATTGCGAGTGGGGGAGCAGGTGGTACCGTTGGCGGCATGGCCGGTGCAGGGGCAGGGGATGTGGTGTATGTGGCCATTCCAGCAGCAGCAGCGGCTGCAGCGGCGGCAAGAGGAGAGCAGCTGATTCTGGTGAGCGCCAGCGATGGGCGGCTGGCGGGGCAGGATGGGCGGGTGGCGGGGCAGGATGGGCGGCTGGTGGGGCAGGATGGGCGGCTGGCGGGGCAGGATGGGAGGATGATGCAGCAAGGGGGGTTGCAGCAAGGCATGCAGCAAAGCATGCAGCAAGGCATGACGTCACAGCAAGGGGTCATGTTACAATATGAGACGCCTCGAAACACCCCAGGAATCATGCCACAGCATCAAGCTTCAGGAGCAATCGGGCAGGCAGTGGGGCAGCATGAGTATGCAGCTGGCGTGGGGGGGAATGTGTCATCTCTAGGGGGAGGACTCGGGTCTTCCCTAGAAGCTGGGCCTCCCCTCCCAGGGGGCGGAGGTGGAAGGGAGGTGCGGAGCAGGGATGGGAGCATGGATGGGGGTGTGGATGGCATGGCAGGGGGCAGGCAGCCATATGAGCCTGGGCGGTATTATGGTGGATACGGTGGAGTGGGGAGCTCCTATGAGAGCGGGGATACCGGTGGATCCCGGGGGTTTGGTGGGAGTGCTGCCTACGTTTCTGTAGCCCCTGGGGGTGGCGGTGGTGGTGACGGTGGCGGTGGGGGTGGGGGTGGTGCTGCTGCTGCTGCTGCTGCTGCTGCTGCTGCTGCTGCTGCTGCTGGTGGTTCCTCGGTCTCTGCTCCTCCTGCTCCTCCTGTTTTTACTTCTGGTGGTCCCCCACTCCCCCCTGGACCGCCTCCCTCCTATGACACCCGATTTGACACAAGGTTTGACACAAGGTCTGACACGAGGGCGGCTTCTGGAGGAGGGGGGTTGCCAGGCCAGCCGTACGCTGGTAACCGTAACACGGAGCCATTCATCAGCACCAGTGGGCCATTCCTGGGCAACACTGACCCTGGGGGTGCCTTTTCGTACAGCACTGGGCGAGTCAGCCTTGATCCTGGCCCGGGTTTCACCTATGAAGGTCCGAGGATGGGGCCTAGCGGGTATGCTGGTGGCATTGGGAGCAGTGGCACAGGGAACAGCTCCTTTGGGAGTGGTGGTGGTATGGGTATGGTTGGTGGTGGTATGGGTGGTGGTATGGGTATGGGTGGTGATATGGGCATGGGTGGTGGTCCTGGTGGTGTGAATGGCCCTGGTGGTGGTATGGATGCTGGTTACCAGAATCTGCCCCCTTATGCGCCCATGCATGCCCCCCCTCCTGAAGTCTATCTGAGTGGGGGCAGTGCGTACGGCGGCCGGGCAGAAGGAATAATCGGCCGGGCAGAAGGAGAGATGTTCCGGGCAGGAGCAATGGGCCCTACAGGGGCAATGGAGCGAGTGGATAGGGCGATGGGGCGGGCAGAAAGAGTAGCGGGCTGGGAAGAAGGAATCAGGGGAGATGGGATCTTAAGCAAGCCGCAGGGCATGGGGATGGGTGGTGGTAGTGCGGTTCAGATGGGTGGTAGTGGTGCAGTTCAGCTGCCGCCACAGGATCAGGTGTTTTCAAGGCGAGGGAGGCGGGGTGGTGGGCCGGGCAAGAGTGGTGGCAGCGGTGCCACAGGGGATCGTGATCGTGCTCGTGGCAGCGGTGGCGGTGGTGGTGGCAGCGGTGGCACAGGGAATCGTGGTAGTGGTGGTGGTGGCAGTGGTGCTTCTGCTGCTGCTGCTGCTGCTGCTGCTGCTGCTGCTGCTGCTGGCGGCAGCGGTGGTGGTAGCGGTGGGGGTGGCGGTGGTAGCCGTGGTGGTGTTGCTTCTCGTAGTGGTGGGGGTGTTGGTAGCGGTGGTGGCAGCAGTGGTAAAAGTGGTGGTCAAAGTGGTGGTGGCAGGGGGGGTGGTGGCAGCGGGGTTGGTGGCGGTGGCGGTGGTGGTGGTGATGTCAACGGTGGTGGTGGTGGTAGCGGTGGTGCCAAGGAAACCCACCGCTGCTAAGGAAACCCGCTGCAGCTGAAAAGGGGTCACGGGAATGGTGCTGGGAGCACAGGTGGTGCTGGGAGCACAGGTGGTGCCGGGAGCACAGGTGGTGCTGGGAGCACAGGTGGTGCTGGGAGCACAGGTGGTGCTGGGAGCACAGGTGGTGCTGGGAGCACAGGTGGTGCTGGGAGCACAGGTGGTGCTGGGAGCACAGGTGGTGCTGGGAGCACAGGTGGTGCCGGGAGCACAGGTGGTGCTGGGAGCACAGGTGGTGCTGGGAGCACAGGTCGTGCTGGGAGCACAGGTGGTGCTGGGAGCACAGGTGGTGCTGGGAGCAGCTAGACACATGACATCCCAGGCACACCTCCAGGGACGATGGGGAAGACCATTGGGCTGCCACCACAGGAGCAAGTGTTTTTAAGGCGAGGGAAGGGGAGGTGCACCTGGTGAAGGTGGCACAGGGGATCTGGATTATTTCGAAATAGTGGAGGGGCTATTAGAATGCAGCACGAGGAGGCACGTTGGTGATGGGTGGTGGGCATATGTGGGCTCACTCACTGCAGCTGAATGGGTGGAGACTTGATCTCGCTTTCGAACGAAGTGGATGTAGTACTGTTTTGAAATACATTCAGGATTCCCTTTCGGTTTTGTGACGACGCACTTGAGGGAAGTTGGGTGGTCCTCTTCTGTGGAAGAGTTGGTTGCTAACAGTGATCATCTCATCTCATATCGTGTTTTCCAACAAAAACAAAAACAAAAACAAGAAACAAAAAACAAAAAACAAGAGGTGACGAGGTCGTCTTAGGGTTGCGGAGCATTTCATGATGAGACTTTATAATACATAAAATGTTTTATTTCCATATCACAACAAACATTTGATTTGTATTTCCATATGACAATAACAAATGATGATGTTTCACATATTTACTTGAAAATTGAGGCACTGTGTGAAAAAGAATTTAGACGAGGCAATTTCCAAAGTGGAGACATTATTATCACGTTTTGTCAAGGTTTGAACCGGAGAGCGATTGTATCAACCCATTCAAACGACTGAGCTAAATTACTTAACATTTGGTCTGTTTGTATTTAAAAAATCGTAATTTTGCGACGAATGTGTCAAGATTATGTAAGTTATATATAATTGATAGGCTTGATAGTTGTTACTGAACCTTTCTGTAGAGGGTACAATCCCCTCCTTGTACTCCTCTCTCTTCCTAATCGAACCCCTTCTTTCTCGACATTCTCTCCCCCGCTCCTAGATCTATTTTCCTCACGCCATTCCATAGCGGCATTCCTTGTATCCTGGCTAAGTTAGCGTCCTAAGTTTAAGAGGCTAGTGTCCTAAGTTTCTGAGATGGTATCAGAGCAGTCCGCTCCTAGCGGGCCTGCTCCTGACGCTTCCGCCGCACTTTCCTCTCCTATTCCTCACGCTGCCATGGCGGCCGCGGCGGCGTCACGCTGTGGCGGCGTCGTCTTGTCGCCGGCTGCGCCGTCGTGCCACTGCCGTCTCGATGCGCAACCGTGGCATTGCGCTGACGTCATCCCGGTCGTGTCGTACCGCCGCGACCGTCTCGACGTGCTGCTGTGGCGACATGCGGCCAGTGCTCGGCCTTAGCGCTGGCCAGCACGCCAGCACGCTGACGCGCCACACTGTGTGCTGCTGCAGCCCTGCCCCCGTCCCCTGCGTCCCCTCTTACTCGCCACAGCCTACGGCTGCCTTGCACCGGCCGTCCCACCGTCGCGGAACCCAGCCACGCCGCCGAGTACTGCGGGCCCTGCACCGCCGCCGACTGCCGACGTCGAAGCCGCCGCCGCCACCGCTGATGCCGCTGGGCGTTCCCGCCGCACGCCGCCGCCGCTGCCGCTGTCGATGCTGACGGTGTCCCCGCAGCCCTTGTTCCACCGTCGCCCCGCCTCTCGCGCCGTGAGGTTGGCCATGCTGGAATGGCCGTGGCTCTTGCTGAGTATTGGGGTGCTAGACTAGGGTGTGTGTGTGTGTGTGTGGTGTGTTGGGTGGGTGTATGACTACCAAGCCTAGGGGGTGTGTCAAGATTATATAAGTTATATATAATTGATAGGCTTGATAGTTGTTACTGAACTTTTCTGTAGAGGGTACAATCCCCTCCTTGTACTCCTCTCTTTTCCTAATCGAACCCCTTCTTTCTCGACATTCTCTCCCCCGCTCCTAGATCTATTTTCCTCACGCCATTCCATGGCGGCATTCCTTGTATCCTAGCTAAGTTAGCGTCCTAAGTTTAAGAGGCTAGTGTCCTAAGTTTCTGAGAGAAGGTCCAACAACTTCAGCAACTCGCTTCCCTTTTTCCTCTTGCCTAACATTCTCCTCAGCAGAGCTACCTCTCATAGCACAGGTACGTCATTCACAGCGTCCTAGGCTTTCAAGTCACTAAATGGTTGCATTTAATTTCCTCATATTTCCTATTTTCTTTCCGCGACCTCGATAGTTCAAGGTGGAGATATTGGGCTGCAGCCCATTTCGACCTTGTTCTAGGTCGTATTACTGGGCTGCAGCCCGACCTCGTTCTAGGTAGTTATTAGGGGGTTGCAACTCATTTCAGCCTAGTTCTAGGTCGATCTACAGGGCTGCAACCCATATCAACTTCGTTCTAGGTCGATTTTAGGGATTGCGACCTTTTTCGACCTAGATCTAGGTCAATTTATGGGGCTGCAGCCCACTCCGACCTAGATCTAGGTCGCTTTATTGAGCTGCAACCCATTTTGACTTCCGTTTTGCCGTTTTTCTGCAACCCTTTCTTCTTATTTTCTTGTATCATTCTCTAATCTGTGTTCACCGTCTGTTTCTTGCTCTACTTCTTGCCTTGTTTCCTGATCCCCTCTAATTCCCTTGGTATTCTTGTATACTTGACACATGATTCGAAGCACTCGTGAAAGTTGAAAAGTGGCTTCGTTATGGGCGTTAGCTAAACACCGTTTCTATTCCAAGCTGTCTGAATTGCATTGTTGCTTGTCAAAAAAAAAAAAAAAAAAAATTGCTTGCTGATGATTTTCTTGCTATAATAAAATGTATTATCTCACGGTCGACATAATAGGCTTTCGATTTCCCCCACTTAGCTGGGGAAGCGAGTGTCAAACATAAGAATAACTCATGTTTGTATAGACTGTATAGGGTCGCCTCTTTGAGGGTACAACACTCTTAGGTATATACCCTTGTACTCTCTCTCTATTCAACATTTTCTTCAGTTCTAAGATGGTATCAGCAGTAGGTAGGTCCCACCGCCCCCCCCACGCTTCCGCCCTAGGATCTACCCCCGTGCGTCGCGCCCCCTAGGCCCCGTCGCGTCACCTAGGACCAGTCGCGCCCCCCCCCTGGGCCCGTCGCGCCCCCCTGGGCCCCGTCGCGTCACCTAGGACCAGTCGCGCCCCCCCTGGGCCCCGTCACGCCCCCCTGGGCCCCGTCGCGCCCCCTGGGCCCCGTCACGCTTCCCTGGGCCCCGTCGCGCCCCTTGGGCCCCGTCACGCTCCCCTGGGCCCCGTCACGCTCCCCTGGGCCCGTCGCGCCCCCTAGCACCAGTCACGCCCCTCCTGGGCCCCCCCCCCGTTGGTGCCTCCTGGCCCTGTCGCGCGACTCCTAGCCCGTCGCGCCTTACCTAGCCCGTCGCGCCTTTCCTAGCCCGTCGCGCTTCCTAGTCCGTCGCTCCCAGCCGGCCCCGCGACCGTCCCAGCCGGCCCCGCGACCGTCCCAGCCGGCCCCGCGACCGTCCCAGCCGGCCCCGCGACCGTCCCAGCCGGCCCCGCGACCGTCTCAACCGGCCCCGCGACCGTCCCAGCCGGCCCCGCGACCGTCCCAGCCGGCCCCGCGACCGTCCCAGCCGGCCCCGCACCTGTCCCAGCCGGCCCCGCGCCCGTTCTAGCCGGCCCCGCGCCCGTCCCAGCCGGCCCCGCGACCGTCCCAGCAGACCCCGCGACCGTCCCAGCCGGCCCCGCGACCGTCTCAACCGGCCCCGCGACCGTCCCAGCCGGCCCCGCGACCTGCCCAGCCGGCCCCGCGACCGTCCCAGCCGGCCCCGCACCTGTCCCAGCCGGCCCCACGCCCGTTCCAGCCGGCCCCGCGCCCGTCCCAGCCGGCCCCGCGACCGTCCCAGCAGACCCCGCGACCGTCCCAGCCGGCCCCGCGATCGTCCCAGCCGACCCCGCGACCGTCCCAGCCGGCCCCTCGTGCCCGTCCAGGCCGCCCCTGCACCCGTCCCAGCCGGCCCCGCGCCTGTCCTAGCAGGCCCCGCGCCCGTCCCAGCCGGCCCCGCGCTTGTCCCAGCCGGCCCCGCGCCCGTTCCAGCCGGCCCCGCGCCCGTCCCTGCCGGTCCCGCGCCCGTCCGAGCCGGCTCCCGCGCTTGTCCCGGCCGGCCCCGCGTCGACTTCCGGCCCTTCCTCGCCGGCCCTACGACCGTCCGATCTGCACTCTCCCTGGTACGGTTCTCCACCACCTTTCACCGCACTGTACCGCACTGCACCGCACAGCACCGCCCTGCACTGCCCTGCATCGCACTGCCTCGCCTTGCACTGCCCTGCTCTGCCCTGCACCGCACTGTACAGTCCTGCACTGCCCCTGATGGCGGCGGAGCTTCGCTTCAACGCTGAAGGCCAGCCTCTGGAGTTCGAGGCGTGGCTTGCCGACCTCCAGCGTCAACTCACTGGCCAGCGGCAGGATGGTGAACCGCTTTCCGCACACCTTGACGGTACGCTCCCCTGCCCAGACCCCCCTGCTGTTCTGCCAGCGGACTCCGCACCCACTGAGCGCGAGTCTACTGCTGCCACTGCTCGTGCGCGCTCTATCTGGCTTTCTCGAGATGCTGTCGCTCAGCTTGCCATTAGCAATGCCCTTCCCCCGTCCGAGCGCCCCCGCTTTAGGTCCCTCACTACTGCCCAGGCTTACTTAGATGCTGTCATCACGCGCTATTCCACCCCTCCAGCTGCCTCGGTGGGTCGCCTGATCCTCCCGATGCTCTTTCCTGACCTTGCGTCTTTCCCCACTGTCTCTGACCTCGCTGCCCACCTGCGCTCGATAGATGAGACCTGGCGCGCTGCCTGCACTGACGCACAGCTTAGAGCCCACCAGCCGCCCATTACCTCTACCCTCTACCTGCTTGCCACCCGCCTCCCTGACCGCCTTGCTGTCGCCCGCGACCGCTTCCTTAGCATTCACCCCGCAGACCTCACCCTCACTGACTTTGTAGACACCCTGACTGTGATTGAGACCCGCCACCGCTCCATCGCCCAGGCGAGCGGTACCGTGCCGGTCCCTATCTTTCAGGGTTGTGCCCCCGCTCAGTGTACTTTCTCCGACGGCTCTGCCGCTGTGGCTGAGACTGCTGCTGCAGCGCGGTTTCGTTCCGGGAAGGGCCGCCGCCCCAAGGTTGGGCGCGGCGGAGGAGGCGGGGGTGCGGGAGGGGGTGGTGGTGGAGTCGGGTCGTCTGGTGCTGGAGCGGACGAGGGGACCCTGCCCAGTCCAGCTGAGCCGCCGCCCCTGCAGTCGCAGCAGCAGCAGCAGCCGCAGCAGCCGCCGCAGTCGCAGCAGCCGCAGCCTTCGCAGCAGCCGCAGCAGCCGCCGCAGTCGCAGCAGCCGCAGCCTTCGCAGCAGCCGCAGCAGCCGCCGCAGACGAGGCAGACGAGTGTCCTCCCGCCCGGGTGGCCCGGCGCTGGCGGTGGTCGGGCGCGTGGTGGTGTGCCGAGTGGTGGTTCTGGAGGCGTGCGTTGTCAGTACCCGATCCATACCGGTCCTCGCCGCGGCTTCGTTTGCGGTAAGATCGGTCACTCCACTCCCCGCTGTTTTCGTCGCCTGGACGACCTCTTTCGTCAGCGCTTCGGCCCGTCGCCAGACCTCCCGGACTGGCACAGTTTGCTTAGTCGTAAGATTCAGATTTTTTACATGGACATGGATGCCATTGTTTCTGTTCTGCATGTGATGTATGCTGATGACTCTAGTGTGCTTCCCGCTTATTACTCACTGTCGGCTAGTGTAGGTGTGCCTAGCTTAGCCTCCCCTGCTGCGTCAGGCGTAGGATCCCCTGCTTTGTGTAGTCTTGGTGCTTCCGCCGTCGTTCCGTCGCCAGACGTCTCTGCTTCGCTTTCCTTCACCTTGGACTCTGGCGCTTCCCGGTGTTTCTTCCGCGACTTCACCACACTGACGCCGCTTCCTGTCCCTGCTGCCGTTTCTCTTGCTGACCCCTCCGGCGGTCCGGTAGTCGCCCGCAGTTCCACCACCCTTCCCTGTCTGGCGGTTCCTTCGGGCACTCTCACAGGTCTGCATATCCCCTCGTTCTCCAGGAACCTAGTTGGTGTCGGCTGCCTCCAGGACCTTGGCGTCACCACTACGTTCCCTGGTCACGAGCGGTATGCTGTCTGTACTGAGGCCGCCACGGGTGCCCCCCTGTCCACGTTCCCCCGGGACCCGGTGTCCGGCCTGTTCACTCTGGACACCGTGACCCCCCCAGCTGGGGCGCTCCCTCAGGTGGTTGCGTCTACCCAGGTTGCTGCTGCCTGCTCCTGTCGGTCCCTCACTCACCCGACTCTCCTTTGGCACCACCGCCTAGGTCACCCTGCGCTCCCGCGTCTGCGTCACATGTCCCAGCACGGTCTTGTCCTTGGTCTCCCAGGTTCTCTCCCCGCATTTCCCTTCTCCCAAGCCCCACCTTGCACGCCTTGTGTCGAGGGTCGGCTTCGCCGTGCCCCTCACTCCTCCTCGTTTCCCCCTACCGCCGCGCCGCTGCAGACCCTGCACCTGGACGTCTGGGGCTCCGCCCCCGTCCCTGGGCCGCGTCGAGAGCGCTACTTCCTTGTGCTTGTCGACGACTTTACTCGTTACACCACAGTCTTTCCCCTAGAGCGCAAGGCCGACGTGCCTGGCGCTCTCATCCCCTGGCTTGTCTTTGCGCGTGTCCACCGCGGTCTCCCTGTCTTGCGTCTTCACTCCGACCGTGGTGGCGAGTTTGCCTCAGGTGTCCTTGGTCGCTTTTGTCGTGCGGAGGGCATCTCCCAGACGTTCACCCTACCGGACTCCGCACAGCAGAATGGGGTCGCTGAGCGACGCATCGGTTTGGTCATGGAGGTGGCTCGCACCCCCATGATCCATGCCGGTGCACCCCATTTTCTGTGGCCGTTCGCTGTGCGCTACGCTTCTCACCAGCTTAACTTGTGGCCGCACCCTCAGCAGCCGCAGGTTTCGCCGACCCGTCTTTGGACTGGGTCTCCTGGTGACGCGTCTGCGTTCCACGTCTGGGGCTGCCTCGCTCACGTCCGTGCCTCCGGCACGGACAAGCTCATTGCCCGCACCCTTCCCTGCGTCTTCCTCGGTTTTCCCCTTGACGCGTCCGACTGGCACTTTTACCACCCGCCGTCTCACCGCTTCTTTCACTCTCGCGACGTCACCTTTGACGAGTCCGCCTCCTACTACCGTCGCTTCCCCCACCGCGGTCCCCCGGTTACCCCCCCCTGTTCCTGGTCCCTCCTTCCCCGGTAGTCCCTGCCCCTCCTCCTCCTCCTCCCCGTCCTGCCCCCTCTGGTGTGTCCCACGTCACCCCTCGTCCGTCGGTGGACCCGGTTGAGGAGTCTTCTGACTCTGGTGGCCCTGCTGCGCAGTCCTCGCCGGCCGCCCCTCCCCCGGCGTCCCCTCCCCAGTCCCCTCCTCCACCGCCTCTTCCGCCGCTGCAGCCGTCGTTGTCGCTGCCGCCGCCGCCGCCGCCGCCGCAGCACCCGTTCGCTGCCTCTGGGGGTGCTCGTCCCGATCGCCCTGGGGGTGGTCCCTCTGGGGGTGCTGGTGTGGAGTGTGCCGGTGGTAGCCGAGGAGCCGCTTGCAGTCCCGGTGTCACCGTTGTGCCGCCGCAGCAGCAGTCCCTGCCGGTGTCAGCCCTTCGCCTGCTCGGCCTTCCGTCCCCTGACCCTGCGGCTATTCCTCTCCGACCGTCTCCTCCTCTTCCCGTCTACGGCCCTGTGTTCCCTCCGCCGGACTCGTCCCCGGCCCGTCTTCCCCTTCGTTCCCCTCCTGTGTCCCCTCCCCTGTCTCCTGACCCGACTCCTCCGTCGCACGTCTGGTCTCACCGTCCCTCCCGTGCTCGTCCTGCCTCGCCTGTCTTGCGCTCCCACCCTATGTTGCTTCGTTCCCACGCGTCTCGTCCTCCCCTTCTCCCGTCGCCTCCTCCGTCCTCCCTTGTTGTTGCACCCCCCCCGCTGTCTGACTACCTCCGTGCCGCTCGTCCTCTTGTTCCTCGGGTCCTTGCCTCTCTCGTTACCGACCCGTCTGTTCCGGTCTCGTGCCTTGACGCTCTTGTTGCTGCGGTCGCTGACTTCGCCTCTACCCGCCGCCTTGACTACGCCACCGCTCTGGTCTCTGACCCTGCCTGTCCTCCGTCTGTCGGGGGTGCTCCTGCCCTCGGCAGTGACGTCCTGGAGGACCGCCAGTTCGAGCTTGCTTTCCTGTCCGAGGCTGCTCCCCATCTCTGTTCCATGCTGCTAGTCCCTGAGGGTGACCCAGACGCTTTCGACATCCCGACCCCTCGCACTTACGCTGAGGCGACCTCGGGACCTTGGGCCTCTAAGTGGATAGCTGCCATGGAGCAGGAGATGGCATCTTGGAGATCCACCGGCACCTTCGTCGACGCAGTTTCCCCGCCTGGGGTGAACGTAGTCGATGGCCGCTGGCTCTTCAAGGTGAAGCGCCCTCTTGGAGAGCTGCCTGTGTTCAAGGCGCGCTACGTGGCTAGAGGCTTCAGTCAGCGTGAGGGGGTGGACTTCTTCCAGACCTTCGCTCCGACCCCGAAGATGACTACTCTTCGGGTTCTGTTACACCTAGCTGCTCAGCGTGACTACGAGCTTCACTCCCTCGACTTCTCCACTGCCTTCCTTCAGGGCAGCCTACACGAGCAGGTCTACTTGCGTCGCCCTCAGGGCTTTACTGGCACCTTCCCTCCTGGGACCCAGTGGCTCCTGCGGCGCCCTGTCTACGGCCTGCGCCAGGCTCCCCGTGAGTGGCACGACACTCTTCGTGCTACGCTTGCTGACCTGCAGTTCTTTCCGGCTTCCGCAGACCCCTCACTCTTCGTTCGTGCTGGCCAGACTCTGTTCTACATCCTTGTTTACGTCGACGACCTGGTCTTTGCCACAGCAGACAGGGACGCACTGGCCTCAGTGGAGGCAGAGCTGCTGAAGAGACACACGTGCACTGACCTTGGAGAACTGCGCCGTTACCTTGGCTTGCAGATCTCCAGGGACAGAGCAGCGCGCACCATCACACTGACTCAGTCACACTTGGTGCACCAGGTCCTTCAGAGGTTCAGCCTTCAGTTCTCCTCTGCACAGCCCACCCCTCTGCCTGTAGACCACAGACTCTCCGCTCCAGTGTCTGAGGAGTCGGTAGAGCCCAGCGGCCCCTACGCAGAGCTGGTGGGTTGCCTCATGTACCTGATGACTTGCACTCGCCCAGATCTCGCGTACCCTCTCAGCATCCTGGCTCGCTTTGTGGCCACAGGCAGACACCGACCACAGCACTGGTCTGCCGCTAAGAGGGTTTTGCGTTATCTTGCAAGTACATCGGGCATGGGGTTAGTGCTAGGAGGACGCAGGCCAGTGGTCCTTACTGGACACACAGACGCTTCGTGGGCAGACGATGCCGAGACACTCATGTCTACCCAGGGCTACTGCTTCAACCTTGGCTCAGGTGCCGTCTCGTGGAGAGCTACCCGCTCCTCCTCTGTTGCCCAGTCCAGCTGTGAGGCTGAGATCTACGCCGGTGCCATGGCGGCACAGGAGCTCCGCTGGCTGACCTTCTTGCTCACTGACTTAGGTGAGCGGCCTAGCTCTGCCCCGGTCCTGTTCGCTGACAACAGGGCCATGATCCTCCTGTGTCAGGAGCCTCGACTCGAGGGCAGAGCGAAGCATATTCAGCTGCGATACTTCCTCCTGCGCGAGCTACAGCAGCGACGTCAGGCTCGCGTAGTACACTTGGCCTCAGGTGCCAACACGGCTGATATCTTTGCGAAGGCGCTTGCGCCTAAAGATCATCAGCGGCACTGCGTACAGCTTGGTCTAGTTCTTGTAGCCTCTCACTTGCTAGGGCCTTGTGTATTGTCCTTTATATGCATACTCAGACTGGACTTGTGTCCTCTCCCAGTGGCTGGACTAGTAGTGCCGCCCTGGTCTTGTTCTTGCCTTGCCTGTACTCCTTTTGACTGGTCTTTTAGACCCTTGTCTCAGTGGTTGGACTAGTAGTGCCGCCCTGAGCTGCTTGTTCAGGTCATTCCCCTATGCAGTCTAGGGGGTGTGTCAAACATAAGAATAACTCATGTTTGTATAGACTGTATAGGGTCGCCTCTTAGAGGGTACAACACTCTTAGGTATATACCTTTGTACTCTCTCTCTATTCAACATTTTCTTCAGTTCTAAGAGCGAGAGCTTATTTTTGTCAATGACAAAAATACGCCACTGGAAATAATGGGAAACAACGACAAACATTTTAGATTCAAATCAATTAGGGAAACAAAAAGTTATTGGGGAATTCTTTTTAAAAAATAGATTTGGTAGTTTTTTCCAAATCACTAACTTGAAAAAAAATTCCTTACGATCGATCGCAATAGGTTTCTCCGCAACCCAACAACAACAACAACAACAACAACAACAACAACAACAACAACAACAACAACAACAACAACAACAACAACAACAACAACAACAACAACAACAACAACAACAACAACAACAACAACAACAACAACAACAACAACAACAACAACAACAACAACAGGGGCTTTCTTACTCGTGGCTTATGCTCCATGCCAACTCGGCAAACCCATGAACTTGTCTCCCAAATACTTAGGACTTCCGTAATGTGAGAGCTACCATCTTTATAACTTCATGTAGGGCGTTGCTTCGCTATAACGCGAGAGTTGAGATTCATTAAGGTATGGGAGTTGACTGGGATTGACGCTCGAAGTGAACATATGGATGATCCCCACCATTCGCCAAGGTCAATGCTCGAAGAACTACCATATTCGGAGTCGTGTTGTTTAGAAACGATCCGAGCAAATGGTTTCCGTTAAGCAATTTAAGCTGGGTTGGCTGAAACTTCTAAGCTCTGTCTCAGCCCATGTGCGAGAATGTTGAAGTATCGTATACACCGACAATGCTGGGATGTTTCCATTGACATTTTTTTTGCTAGAGCCGTTCCATCTCCTAACGTCGGGAAACGGTTTCAGGTCTGACCGTGGGTCCATTTCAGGAAACTGCCGGGGCGCAACTGCTCCTTGCTTCGGGAGCCCAAAAACCCAAAATTGTACTGTAAATTTGCAGCACGATTTGCCGTTTGGCGGCTTGCTTACCGTACTAAAGCGCATGATTTGTGTGTTATACCGATCCAATTCCTCTCCTTCTCCCTCGATCTGTTGCGCCATTTCCTTCACCTCACTGCTCTCCACCACCCCAACCAGCCCCTCTCTCATCCCGTCCCTTCGCCATGGAATGGAAATCGCACTCCTCCCGCTCCCTCGCCAGCCCCTCCCTCCCTCTCTCTCTCGACTCTCGAGCCTTCAACCAATCCTTCACTCCCACCTCCACGCTATCTCTGCTGCTCCCGTTGATCTGGTCCGGACTAGTCGCTCTCGCGGCGGCGATGGCGTGCATCCATCCGTACTGCCGCAACAGCAGGCAGTTCCAGTTTCATGTTGTGGCTTCGAGCCACAGCAGGAAACTGGAAGTTGCTCGCTCGCGGCAAAATACTACGTTCAGCACGCGCATCGCATTTCTTCACGATCGGCCCGCATTTGCGAGAAGCTATATATCCAGGACCAACTCCCCCTGTCTTCACACAGCTCGACTTATGTCTCTATTCGTTAAACCCGAGCGCTCCATCCTTGGTTACTCTATCCCAGATTGTTTCGCTGATAACTTACCGTGAATCACTTTCGGGAAGCTTGAGGCAAGCTTGAGTCAAGCTTGAGCGAAGGTTTCAGGTCGGAGCTCGCTCGGAGCGAACTTCGCTACCCGTGAAGGCGTTCAGGCCGATGGCCATTGCCGAATATCACCCTCACATCTCACGGCGTCCCATCTCCATTACTACTTTCGCGCTGAGCGCTCACGCTATCTCAGCATGTCTCGTTCTCCTGCTCCTCTACTGTTCACCAACGACAGCTCTCAAGCCCATATCGAGGCCGCTTATAACGAGGCTGTCTGATGCTCGCCACGGACGAGTTTCCGCGCGGACGGCTGCCGCTGCGCGGCGGGCGGAGAAAACATCCGCGGCAAAAGCAGCCGCGGAAGAAGCATCCGCGCAGCGAGCAGCGGAAGCAGCGTCAGTCGGCGGAACCATCCGCCGCGTTGACAGCATGTCAACGGGATTAGGGCTAAGCGGCTCATCTTCAGCCTCAGCGCAAACTTCGGTGGCGAACACGGCGGCTCTTACGGCGATCTTCACGGCGGCGCAGCTGCCTATTCCGCCAAACAAGCCGAACGCGTGCACGTGGCCCGGCGTGACATGCGCCGTGGACGGCGCTGTTATAGGGCTTAACCTCACGAGCAGCGTCAGCCGGCTCTTGCTGCCGCGGACGCCTCGCCTTTGCAACAGTACCGCGCGCGAACGAGGCGGAAAATTCCCCGCGACACTCTCCGCTTCTATCGGCCAGTTGACGGATCTTATCGACCTCCGAGCTGCGAACCTCTGGCTCGCTGGTTCCGTCCCGCAGTCGCTTTCCCGGCTTACGAAACTTCAATCACTCGACCTCCAAGACAACTGCTTCGCTGGCCCTCTTCCCTTCGCCTTTTTTCGCCTGCCGTATCTTTTCACCCTGCGGACGTCGCGAAATTTCTTCTCCGGCGGGCTACCACAGCGCCCTGTCGCGTACGCCACGATGACTTCGTTAGCAGTTCTGGACCTCGGGATAAATTTGCTTTCTGGGCCGATTCCTGCTGCCCTCGCGACATTACCGATGCTGTGGGTGTTACTTTTGAACTCGAATGGGTTTTCAGGAGAAATTCCGCCTGCCCTGCTGGGAAAACAAATGTCGGCGCTTGTTTTGGATCAGAACCGGCTTTCAGGAGACCTCAGCGGGCAGCAGATAAAAGCTTCTTTCATTGGATTCAGTGGGAACAGGCTGGCCGGAAATTTTAACCAGATCCGGTTCAGCGAATCCGTGAGCTTCATCGACGTTTCGGATAATATTTTCTCGGGCACCTTTCCGCAACTCTTGTGCAGCAGTTCGGGCAGCCTTGAAAGCGCTGATTTCTCGCGTAATCGCCTGACCGGAGCCGTTCCAGCAAATTGTTTCAAGCCTGCAAATAGGGTGCTCCTGGCCCTATTCTTGAGCCGCAACAACTTCTCGGGCAGCTTGCAGCCTTTTTCCAGCCTGCCCAAGAGCATCGTGGCTGTGGACCTGGCATTCAACAAGTTCACAGGGATAATTCCCCAAGGCCTCACCACGTTACCCCAGTTAAATAACTTGAACCTCGGAGCCAACTCCCTGACAGGTAAGCCGACCAGAAAACTGCAGATTAGTTTGCATGGTCTCTCTCTACTTCCTCTTTCCTTTTCCTGCAGATTACTTTGCTTTGCACGGCCTTTCTCTCCACTTGCAGGCTTTTCACTTCCTCGACCTCCAGGCTTCATCTCGGTCTCTCTCATCCCTTACCTTGTTGTCTCATTCTCATTATCCCCTGCCTCGACCCTGTGATTTGCCCCATTTCCGCCCTCCACTCCTCCCCTCAAGCCTCATCCCCCCCTTCTGCCAGGGCCAGCTGGCTCTTCTCTACCTCAACCCTCAACCTTCTTTTCACTCTCCTTCTCTGTGCTTCCTCCTGTTGCCTCCTCCCCCTTCCCACACCTCAGGCCCCATCCCCCCCTTCTGCCAGGGCCAGCAGGCCCTTGTCTCCCTCAACCTTGCTTCCAACGCCCTCTCCGGCCCGCCCACCCCTCTCGCCTCCCCCACCTGCGCCCCCTCCCTCGACGCCCTCTACCTCTCCTCTAACCGACTCTCCGGCTCCATCCCTGCTACAATCAGCTCCTTTAAAAGCCTCAAATGGCTGCTTCTAGACAGAAACGCCCTCACAGGGGCGATCCCGGCTGGGGTGAGCGGCATGCAGCAGCTGAAGGGACTGGGCGTGTCGTATAACCGGCTGTCGGGTCCCATTCCTGCGGTTTGGCCACGGACTATGGGCCAGGTGCTGCTGGCAGGGAACCAGCTGTCAGGGGCTGTTCCCGCTGCTCTTAGCAAGCTGAAACGGGCTTCCTTCAAACCAGGAAACCCTAATCTATGCGGGACTCCACTACCCGCTTGCTCATAGGATCAACCCCATGCAAATCGCCATGGTTCGTGTGTTATGGTATGCGATAAAGGAATGTGTTTGCTGTACAACGTAGTTAACGAGGTGCATTCATGTGACTTGGTCGGGAGTCGGGACGGTAACCACCGGCCAGGTGCTGCTGGCAGAGAAGCAGCTGTCGGGTTGTTTTGGGTGCACTGAGCGAGCTGAAGGCTCTTAGAAACCACCATCCCAAATGACGCAAATTTACCTGTTCCTTCATAATCTTGGTTGGGAATCCCCAGCAGTGTGTCAACATGTATCTGTATATGTTATAGGCTAGATAGGTGCATGCTCATGAGGACAAAACCACCCTGTATCACTCATTCTAGTTCATTCCGTTACGCTGAGATGGTATTACGCTAGGTTAGGTCCGCCCTACCCTACCTCGCCTGCTCTAGCCGCTCAAGCTCGCCCTAGCCTGCCCTAGCCGCCCTAGGCCATCCTAGCAGCGGTAGCTCAATGGCCCCGCGCTCGTCGGCCCCTCGCTTACTTGCCCCGTGCCCACTGGCCCTACGCTCGCAGGCCCCTAGCTTGCCGGCCCCGTGCTCGCCGGCCCTGCGCTCGCTGGCCCCGCGCTCGTCGCCCCCGCGCTCGCCAGCCCCGCGCTCGCCGACCCCACGCTCGCCAGCCCCGCGCTCGCTGGCCCCGCGCCCATTGGCCCCCACGCACGCTGGCCCCTAGCTAGCCGGCCCCGCACTCGCCCGTCCCGCACTCGCTGGCCCTGCGCTCGCCGGCCCCTAGCTTGCTGGCCCCGCGCTCATCCACCCTGCGCTCGCCAACCCCGCGCTCGCCGGCCCCTACCTTGCTGGATCCTAGTTCGCCGGCCCCTCGCTCGCCGGCCCCTATCTCCCCTGCCCCTCGATCGCCGGCCCCTTAGCTTGCCGGCCCCTCGCTCCCCGGCCCCAGTTCGCGCCGACCCCAGTCCTGCCGTGCCACCGTTCGAGCCGATGTGCCGCAGTCCCGCTGTGCCGCTGTTTCGCCATGCCGCTGTGTCGCCGTGCCACCGTGTAGCCATGCCGCCGTGCCGCTGGGTCGCCGTGTCGCTGTACGCCGCTGCGGCCGTGGTGATGTCGGACGCTGTGCTCCGCTTGGACGCGGAGGGTCGGGCGATCGACTTTGAGGCGTGGCTCGTCGACCTTCGCCGTCAGCTGATGGGTCAGCGCCAGTATGGCTATTCCCTGGCCGTCCATGTTGACGGTAAGCTCCCCCGCCTCGACGCGTTTGCTGCCCTCTCTGACACCCCCACCACTGCTCAGCGTGAGGCCTTTGTCGCTGCTGAGCTTGTGCGCGCTGTCTAGGAGTCCCGCGACGCCGTAGCGCAGCTTGCTATCATTCACGCCCTCCCCCTGTCTGAGTGTCCTCGCTTCACGGCTGTAGCGAATGCGAAGGAGTACTTTCGATGCGGTCATTACGCGCTATTCCACTCCCTCCTCCGCCTCTACCGGCCGTCTGATCCTGCCCATGCTATTTCCTGATCTTGCGTCTTTTCCTAACGTCGCTGATCTTGCCACTCATATGCACTCCCTTCAGACTCGCTACCGCGCTGCTAGCACAGAGGCCGAGCTTGCAGCATTCCCTCCTCCCCTTTACGCTACCCTTTACCACATTGTCATGCGCCTTCCTGACCGCCACGCCACTGCCCGCGACCACTTCCTTAGTCATCACCCATGTGACCTCACCCTTACTGCCTTTGTCACCACCCTTTCTGCGATAGAGACTCGTCAGCGCACTATTGCTCAGTCTAGCAGTACTACGCCAGTCCCGATCTTCCCGAGTTGTGCTCCCACCCTGTGCACTTACTCTGACATTTCCGCTGCCATCGCTGAGACAACTCCTACTGCTAAGATCGTCGCCGCGGCGGCCTCAGCGCAGCCTCGTCAGGGTAAGGGCCGCCGCCCCGAGGGGGGGCGTGGCGGAGGGCGGGGTGGTGGACGTGGCGGTGGTGATGCGATTGCCGATGGTGCCGATGAGGGGACCGGGGCTGATCCTGCGGAGCAGCAGCAATCGTCGCAGCAGCAGCCGCAGCCGTAGGGCCGTCTCTCGCCAGGGTGGCCCGTCGCCCCTAGTGGTGGTGGCCGCGGTGGTGGCCCTCGCAGCTCGGCGTTGGGTGGCAACTTCATCTCTGTGGGTTGCAAGTACCAGCTCCAGATCGGCCCCTTACGTGGCACTGTGTGCGGCCATCCCAATCACACTGCCGGTCGCTGCCTCCGCCTCCTCAACGACCTCTACCGTCTCCGCTTCGGCCCTGCGCCGGACCTCCCCGACTGGACCAGTCTGGTACGCCGCCGTGTTCCAGTCTTTCAGATGGATATGGGTCAGATTTGCTCTGCCTTGCATGCCCTGTATGCTGATGACTCTAGTGTGACCGGACCTTATTACCCTGTGTTGCCTAGTATAGGTGTGCCTCTTGTGTGTAGTCTAGGCTCCCCTGTTGCGTCAAGCGTAGGACCTTCTGCTTTGTTTAGCCTAGGCTCTACGCTAGCCCCTCTGCCGACTGACGCTGCCGACTGACGCTACCATACACACATACACATACACACACACACACACGCACGCACGCACCCACACAAACACACACACATACACACACACATACACACACACACACATACACACACACACACCCACGCACGCACGCACCCACACACACATACACACATACACACACATACACACATACACACACACACGCACGCACGCACCCACACACACACACACACACATACACACACACACACCCACCCACGCACGCACGCACCCACACACACATACACACATACACACACATACACACATACACATCCACATACACACACACACGCATG